AAACTCCTTGAGAAAGTTCACCGCGTCCAAGTAATAACTGAAGCGCGTGCCCTCATGAATTGCCGTGAGCAAACCCGCAATGATATCTTGTCGATGCCGATCTCCATGGCATTCGGTACCGGCAATGAACGTCGGCCAGGCTAGATTCTGAACGAAAGCAGCTAGGTCTTCCAATTCGGTCAGTTGGTCGAACAGACTAGCAGCGGCCACAAGGCGCTCCGAGGCGTGCTCGATGGCGTAGTCGAGGCATCTTAACGAGTAAAGCAACCCCGCGTTATGATAAACCTCGACTAAGCGTATGAAGTCACGAGACATGCTTGATCCTGCCAGTCCGAGTCGTCCGGCTGCCATCAGCGTGGCGCCTCTTGCCTGCTCAAACTCGGATTGGATGAGAGGCACCGTGAGGCCGCTGCGTAAGCGCGAGATTGAAGGATAAGAATCAACAGCATCTGCCGAAATGAGCGTGACACGGTGCAAAAAAGTCAGATATCTCGAAAAGAGGAGATAATCTGAGCCAGGTGCTGGCGTGACGGCGCTCCGAATGAGAGGCAGGTCGCACGATGTCGTAGCTGCCAGTACATCATCTATAGCTAGTTGGTTTCGCAAGAACGCAAACAGATCTCGGTTGTTGATTGACTTCTGGCTTTTGAAAAGGTTGACAATCGTCCTTGCCGCGCGCCTGTGATCATCGGCGATTTGAAGGCGGCGACGGGCATTCTCGTAGTTGCACATGATGAGAATCGAGGCCAGCATCCATTCCGCATCAGCCAAGTCACCATGATTGTCCAAGTCATCGCCCTCGATAAGCCGTGCCGTCATATCCTGAGCGCGGGTTTGTATCAGGTGCAAGCACCTATCGCGAGCAGTCTCAGCGATAGATTCATCAGGCAACGCCATGGCGCCGTGTTGAGCCGCGAAAGCCATGATGGCGAAGCCGATCGCTGGTTGATTCGCGGCCAGAGGAACAACCTGTGTACGGTAATGGTTTTGGTCTGAGTCCATCCATACCATCAGACCGGCTAAGTTCCGTCTGTAATAGTCCATGAACACCCTTGTCAGGGAGTCGGGGTACTCGCAAGCTTGACTTGCTTGGGCGGTTGGCGCATTGAGAATGACGACCGAAGTCGTGAAGTCTTTTATTTTGTGTAGCTGTGGACTTTCGGTGAAGATGTCTTTCGAGTCCTCTTCTCGAAATGCGGCCTTATCTTCAGAAGACGGCCTCGTCGGGACCGTTCGACCCCGCAGATGTCCCCTCGCGGCAACCCCTTCCACCCATCGAAGTCGGCGGTCATAGCCAGGGCATGAAAGTCTTTTCTTGTCACACTTGGCGCAATGGGGTCGCCGTCGATCGCAGCGAATTCGACGACGCTCACAGTTGGCGCAGCCTGATGATTTAATTAGCACAGGGCACAGGTGATCGGCTGAAGGAGGGGACGAGCATTTGACGCACCCTTGAGCTGCTTTGCGGGCACTTCCCCAGTAGACTCAGCAGCACCTCTTTGAACCTTCCCCTCTGACATGCTGTCGAAATCCCATGGCCCCGATAATCGTGATATGGGTCGTCTGCGAATGAGTGTGCAATGCTCATCGGAATTAGCCCGCGGCTGAACAGGATTTATGAACTAATTGCGGGGTTCCCGTCCCTCGACATCGTCTGGTCTCTGGCCACGTTCCGATTGATCAACGGAAGAGCGCCCGACGCTTTGAGTTGCGAGACTTGTACGCTATTTAAAGAAAAGAAAAAAACGCCCGAGAACAACTCAACGAACAGTTTTTACAATGATCTAAATTTCCGAGAAGCAACTTAGACGTCCTGCCAAATAAGCGCTCTACCTTGGCATTTGTGAGCACATAGCGTTTGAGGCGAGTCATGTTAGCTGGGCACCGAAGAGTAGGGTTGAATTACCAAAGAATTACTACAGTACCTCTTTCTTCATGGTAACATTGTTTTAATCGTTTGTTCATCCCGTCGGTCCGACTTTTCCCTACCCCTCAACTATAATATTTATAAGAGTAATAGCAGGTGTTGTATCCGTGTTTACCATGCTGACTTAGAAAAGAGCTGGTCAATTGCGGCGTAGTCTGTCACCGCGTCTTGTCGCCTGCAGCTGCTTCGTGCAGTTAACAACTACACCAATGATCAGTCAGTGCTGCCTAAAGTCTTACATTTCTCAACCTCCTCCTGAGCTGCGCCGACCCCTCCATCGTCTCCTCTCTCAACAGACGAGTGTTCGATACTCTGCTACCTACGTTACTCCAAGTTTTGTTTCAGTGAGCGAATCGCCATGGAAGATGACTACATCCAACAAGCCAGGGTCTCCCCACACTGGGTATCCGAGGGCAACGCCTTCTGGTATCGCCAGAATCTCCCAGCCGGTAAATTCGTCTTCATCTATGTTGACGCCATAGAGAAGCAGCGACGTCCAGCTTTTGACCATGGCAAGCTAGCAAAGGCGCTTCAAGAGAGAACCAACCAAAAAGATGGAGAATTCGACGCTTTCAAGCTGCCCTTCACATGGATCGACCTCGAAGCCGAGTCATCCTCCGTCCGATTTCTCTATGAGGGAAAGAAATGGCGTTTTGACACTGACGCAAATCTCAGTGAATGGGAGGGTGCGCTCAATCTGCCTACGACGCCATTCATCTCCAAAGAACGTGCATCTGTGCACTCGAACCACTCTGTCACTGTCACTTTTGTCAACAACAGCAAGGCAGACTTGAATAAGTATTGGATAGACTGGGAAGGCAAGTCAGTGCTTTATGGAGGGGTTGGAAGTGGATTAAGCAACACTCAAAGAACTTATGCCGGCCATGTCTGGAAATTTGTCGACGAGTCGGAGACTGTTAAGGCAATCTACGCCACACCTGAGGAGATTGTCTCTTCTGTGGTGATTGATGAAAATACGATGGATGAGCTCGGTCCTCGGGGCTCAGAAGACGGTGTTGAAGAGAAAAAAGGCGAGGAAACGAGCCCAAAGTCAGACTTGAGCGAGAAGGACTCGCCTCACTTCTTTGTGCGAGACTTTGACCTTTGGTGCCGGAACGAGGACAACGAAGAGGTTCGTCTTTCAGACAGCGGCGTCGAAGGTAATCAGTATGATGATTCAAACATCTGGATGTCTTCAGACAAGAAGTTTTGTGTCGCCTGGCAATTCGTCCCGGAGGAAGAGCATAAAGTGCATCTTCGTGACTCTGTTCCGAAAGATCAGCTTGAGCCAAAGGCGAAAAGCATCCGGTACCTGAAGGCCGGAGATCGCGTCAGAGTTGACCGTCCTCGTTTGTTCAACCTGGAAACGAAGAAAGAGGTCGTCACAGGCGCTACTTTGTTTCAGAGCCCCTACGAACTTCGGAACATAGGATGGAACCGTGATTCTTCGGAATATCGCTTCATATACAACGAGCGTGGCCATCAACGTCTACGTGTCATAGGAATCAGCTCAGATGGGTTTGTTAGGGCTCTAGTTGAAGAGAGCAGCGACACCTTCATTGACTACTCCACGAAACTCAATCGACGTTTGATTAAAGATACCGACGAACTCATTTGGGCTAGCGAACGAGACGGCTTCAATCACCTTTACCTCTTCGATCTCCAATCAGGGAAGTTGAAAAGTCAGATGACAACAGGAAAATGGAATGTGAAAGAGTTCGTTCGTTTCGACGAGGAAGCGAGAGTGGTTTGGTTCTCAGCTTGCGGAGTAGTCCCTGATCAAGATCCGTACTACACGCACTTGGCTCGCGTCAACTTCGATGGGACGGGATTCAAAGTGCTGACCGATGGAGATGGCACACACCACTGGACAATGTCTCCGGGGCATAGATACTTTTTCGATACATGGTCGCGGGTGGATTCGCCTCCATGCACCACTCTGAGAAGTATGGAAACTGGAGAGCTGGTCGTACATCTCGAAGGTGACGAAGGAGATTCTCATCGTCTAAAATCAGACGGCTGGGTAGCACCTGAGAGGTTCAACTGCCCTGGGCGGGACGGCGAAGAGTCCATCTACGGTATAATCGTTCGTCCTTCAGATTTTGATCACAAGAAAAAGTACCCCATTCTAGAATCCGTCTACGCAGGACCGCATGGGTTTCATGTACCAAAGGAATTCAGTGCCCTGCGTTCGCGCCGACAGTGGGCAGAGCAGGGGTACGTCGTTGTTCAAATTGATGGCATGGGAACGAATTGGCGATCAAAGAAGTTCCAAGACGTTAGTTGGAAAAATCTCAAGGACGCTGGGTTCCCTGATCGCATAGCCTGGATCAAAGCTGCAGCAGAAACTCGGCCGTGGATGGACACAAACAGAGTTGGGATCTTTGGGGGGTCGGCAGGCGGACAGAATGCCGTGGGGGCACTTCTGTTTCATGGCGATTTCTACAAAGCAGCCGTCGCCGATTGTGGGTGTCACGATAACAGAATGGACAAGATATGGTGGAGCGAGCAGTGGATGGGTTATCCAGTCGACAAGGCATACGAGGATTCATCGAATGTGGTCCATGCTGGCAAATTGACGGGGGCGTTGTTGCTAATCGTTGCAGAGATGGACGACAACGTCGACCCCGCGTCTACTCTGCAGTTGGTGAATGCATTGAATGATGCAGACAAGGACTTTGAGTTTCTCTACATGCCTGGGGCTTATCATTGTTCAGGCAGGACCAAGTACGCTCTGCGGCGACAGGAGAAGTTCTTCAGACAACATCTGCAAGCCTCGCAGTGACAGCACAATTCTTCCAACTCAAGAGTCTGCTGAGAAACCCGCTGGTTGAGATTCATGCAGAATGTGCCACAAATAAACGGTTACAGCCCGAAGTCCAATCTTCCTGAGCTTGAAATTAGAAGACATTTTCTTTCATATGGGATCTCTCAACTCTAATTCTATCTATTACGCTACTCTACAGATTATGATTTCCATGCTGTGCTCTGTTACAAATGAAAGATGAAAGGCTGCCAATGATGTCGCTACGGATAAGCTCAGGGCGTGTCCTCAGAGAGCACCGTGGTGATCTCAGACCTTTCGTGCCCGAATCAAGACCTGATGTTCCGGATCTGGGAGCACGTTGACTCCAAACTCCACATTCTTGGAACGTGGCTGTCCATCCAAGTTCTTGATCTCATAGTTTAGGAGAAACTCCGCAAACATGAGCTTAATTTCGACATCGGAAAGGAATCTGCCCGGGCACGCATGCCTGCCGAAACCCCAACCAAGCTCCGTACGGGTGACGCTGACAAATGAGTGCTTGTGTGCCATCCCGTCTTCCTGTCGTTGACGGTACGACCGCATGCCATCGAACTTGTGCGGATCGGGGTAGATGGAAGCGTCAAAGTTGATAGCGCTGGTTGGTAGTTCCATCTTCGTACCGGCAGGGATGTAAGTTCCGTCTTTTAGTGTCACAGGCTTCGTGGCCATGCGCTGGAAGGTAGCTTCGCACTTGTAAGAGACTGGACTTGATTCTGGTGGGAAGATGCCGACTTACTCAGATCAGGTGCATTCATTCTCAAACTCTCCTTCATCCAGCTGTCAAGTTTCTTCATCTCAGCAAGTGACTGCTTGGTAAAGATGCCACCAGAACTCTCCAAAACATCCACAACCTCCTGACGAAGCTCTTCGGTGTACTCAGGGCATGCGGCAAGGTCGTACAAAACTTGGACCATGGAAGACGAGGTTGTGTGGATACTCGCCACGGCAAGAGTCATCTGCAGCAAGAGTTGTAGGTCCAGGTCACCGGCCTTATCCACGTGTTCCCCGCTAGACAGGTGGTCGAGCATGGTAGGAGGGTTCTCCAGAGGCGCACCACCCAAGGCACTTTTCCTGGCCATGGACTTTGCGACAATTTCACGCCCTTTGGCCCATTGTTTCTCCTTCTCTAGGCGTTCCGGGAGGAAGTAGGCGACGAATGGACGCAGGAAAGGAGGCCACTGCTTGAGAGCCGAGCCGTATTCGATCGCAGTGTGTACGAATGACATTGAGAGATTGGTCCACGCGGGATTCCGGGCTGCTTCATCGCTATGCATGATTCTCGCAGACAGGATTGCCACAAGCTCGAAGAAGTGCTGATAGGGTTTTACTGGTGTCCAATCTGGAGGAAAATTAGGCAAAGTGATCTGCGACAGGATTATGGATCTCACCTGTCGGAGATCCAAGAAATTTCGGAAGGTGTTCTTGGATCATTGCATGGAATACAGGAACGTAAGCACCTTTTTCCTTGGTTAGAATTGCGCCCCTGGAAGATTATAGAGAATTCAACAAACCCAAGCTGGGGTTCATCTTTGCTAGAATCTGATGTACCCCCCAAGCGTCGACACCTCCAATACCTGTGTAGTTGACCAAGGCATCCTAGAAAGCAATGTCAGCATACGTCGTGACTTATTGATAGTGAAATGAACTTACATTGTCGATCGAGGCTTTGAAGCTCAATGCCGGGTGACTCTTCAGCTCATCGACACTTGCAAGGGGCAAGACGACTTTGACACCTACACAAAGTCAAAAACTTTTCCTGCAGTTCTGCGAAAAAAAAGGAAAAAAAAAAGTAGACAAACCATCCATGGTGTCGATTCCAAAAGGCTTGCTTTTGAACTGACCAGCGTATTAGCTGTGAAACGCACTGCAACTGTTCTACAAGTCTACTTACCCGCTCATAGTACTTGTCGAGTAGCTTTCTGGCGTTTGCCCCGTATGACCGCTTTCTGTTGAGAATATCGGACACCTCTTCCGAAAGCGGCGTAGGTACTTTCAGTCTCCGGCTCAGGACTTGTGACAGTATCCCCAAAAGCAGCGATGAGAGTATCAAAAAGCTTGCTGTTGAAGACAGATGATGCCAGTTCAACAACGAAGCATCAATGCGAATCGTCGTGGGTAATAGGGAACCCATTTTTCTTCGAGCTTGCGGTCTGAATGCTTGAGGTTAGGCAGAAGGGATACCGGAAGTGCTTTAGGAAGAAAAGAACGCGAAATTGACTTCAAGCTCTCGCCGTCTTTGAAGTGATTAAGGTTGCAAGTTCGTCTTTACAAATGTTTAAATGTTGGGAACTGGCTGTAGTTAATTCATGAACACATCTTGGGAACTTTTAACAGACCTTAAATAAGACACTAGTGCAGCATGAACATCTCGCCACAGGGCGCCAGTTTAGACGATGAAGCACGTCGCGGACTGGGTGGACCCGTGAACCGGACTGGCGCAGATCGACACCGCCCACTTCGAGGCGGACTCTCGGCACGCACCGAGTCCTTCATGCCAAGTAGCGAGCGCGTCATTCAGTTTCTAGAACTTCAAGTCTCAAGCGTTTCTTATCTTAGTGGACTTCAGTGGAATCACAGATACTCCGTGTCTCAGTTCGGTAGCCGGCGGGAGGGCAGGTTTCATACGAACTCGAGGAAATGGTGGCACGCACCGTTAAGCTTACTGTCAGCACTGCTTAGCGTCCATGTATGCCACAATTCAATATCCAGATTTCCACCAGTAAGTCTTTTCTGGGATTTGATAGGCTGTGTGAGCATCCTGCTCACTCCGAGAGCTTGCTCCAAAAGCAGCTTCCCAGACTTCCAATAAGCAAGTGTGTCACTTTCAAATGCTACCTTCTACACGCAATTCTACAGGATCTGGGGAAAGTTCTTACTACCTGCGTGGTTGATTTTGGAGTGTATGGCCTCTGTTCACCGTCCCACTGATCTCAATTAGGGAAGAAAGCCCCGCAACTAGGCACAGGACTCAATGATTTTGATGCGCTCCGTCGAAAATTGAATCAATACAAGTACAAATGACTACATACTGCTTTTGTTACAATACCTTAGGCGCTACGCCTTCCTGGGCAGCATTAGAGATACTTGACCTGGAAGCGGACCTCACCTCGAAGGTCAGTGACTGTTTCTAGTACTTGTACTGTAATGCCTGTAAGTATGGGCCATAGCAGCCGACAACTTAGCCACCGGTGTACTACTCTGTCTGAAAAGAAGCGGTATCAATACGTTTACCGAACTCCAACTCACCGCTGTCAGCTTTGACTGGTTATTTGCTACGGCGATGTGGTGTCGTGTGTTTAAAGGCCAAGTGTGGGAGCCGTTACAGTGACATTGCGGGATCTGCATAGCCGTCGATGTTACGGAAAATAAGAAGATTGGGTTCATGAAGCCGAACGGGGAATTTTGAACCTTCGCGGGACTGTGCAGGAAGCCGCCCCCGGGTATCGATCCCACTCATGCCGATGTGGAGTCTTTGTCGGGTCTTGCTGTTCGGCATACGGCCCCTTCGGGCACCGATCAATCACAAAAGACTCATAAGTGCACGCGTCAAAAATTGACATCATTTTCCAAGTAGAGTGTTAAGCCAAGGCTGAAATGCGGCTGGTGCTATGCTCGTACAACTTGGCAGTAGGCGCTGCTTGGCTGCCGGTCCTGGTACCTAAGGTCTAACTAGAGCGCGGATTTTTCGCTGTGTGGAAGTCCGAGAGTCCGAGGTTCAAGCATAGTGTACAGGATTCTAAGCAAGCTTGCTTAGCACTTATACAATACTCTTGCACTACATTCTATATCTTCCTCATTCTATCCTCCTGAACCTATCCATCTTGACGAAGGCTACGGCCGTCATGTCAACCGTGGTTTCGACCCACTCATCAACGATAAAATACCAAGTGAGCGTGAGCTAGGGTTTCCAAATGGCGGGCCTAGCAACCAGAAGCCTAAATGTACTTAATCTTAGCTATCGGCGTTCTTGGACTCTCATTAATACTGGAAGTCAGAGCTTTTATATCATTCGACGTGTTTTTCTAGATCGTCCAGATCCTTTATGCTCGCTTTCGTGGTATTTGTTACTAAGCAAATCCCCCCAGAGCTAAGAGCCGGCGGCCTGTTCCCCCGCAAAGCGTGGTCAAGCTCTTGCGTAAGATTTTCTTTACGCCCATGCAATCAGTGGATCTAACCGGCACCCAAACTCCGTCTTCAGGGCCACAATTGATCTCTCCGCTGACTCTTTGCTCCATCAACTTTGCGGGGAGGCAGATTCGCATGTTCAAAGTACGTAACGGCATCGAAACGACAACCGGCTCCGGCTCGATGCCTTCATCGCCCTCATGTATTGCGTGCAGTTTTATTACCAGACTTGGAGTAGCGCTGGGCCATGAGCTTAACCTTAGTAAGGGTGCCCGGCGACTGGGTTCAGTGACATTCCCGGATAAGTGTCCGGCACTTGAATGGCCAGCCTAGCCAATCTCTCCCCCTGACTGGGAGATATCTCAGGGATCTCTGGTTTCTAGTGGCGATACCAATATCAAAAGGGATGATTCCCCCGCGACCCAAGTCGCACCATCAGACCATTGGCACAGTGAAAGAGTGCCGCCGGGCATCTGGACTATAACAAGTTGGGGGCGCCGTCGGCGAAATTGATCAATTAAGCAGCAATTGAAATGACAATGACTGCCGATATCGTTATTCCGTGGATGCCGCTACTGGATCTCTCGGGTACTTTCAGGTAGCACCGGGCCGGTCGCGTTTGGATGTCTATCTAGACAGGCGCGCCTCGACTTTCCTCCCCAGAACCTCTCGAAGACCAGCAGCAGGTTTGTATGCATCTTCCTGACTCTCAACACACTCCAAGCATGGATCGCGATACGAAACTCCACGACGAAAGCGAGGCTACGGCCCCCCATGTCAACAAGACTCGATCGGCCGACCAACACGATGTAGCCATCAACGCGTCTGGCCACGTCCAAGAACTTGAGCGCAACTTCAACCTGCTCTCCCTCGCCGGTGTTGGATTGGTGGTCGGCAATGTCTGGCCAGCGATCGGCGGCTCAATCCTCGTCGCCATCTTCAACGGCGGGCCCCCGGGCGTCCTATACGAGTTCATTGCCGTGTCTGTCTGCTACTGGACCGTCGCGGCCAGCATCGCCGAGCTAGCAAGCGCCATTCCTTCGTCCGCCGGAGTGTACCACTGGGCCTCCGTCACACCCGGCCGCCGATGGGGCCGCATCGTGGGCTTCTTCGCCGGATGGTGGAACTACCTCGCGTGGATTCTCGGCGCGGCCAGCATGGCATCGATTTTCGGCAACACGGTGGTCCAGATGTACGCGCTCAACCACGCGGGTTTCGAGGCCAAGCCCTGGCACGTCTTCATCGTCTACATCATCGCCACATGGCTTGCATGCGCCATTGTCTGCTTGGCTAATAGTGCTATGCCGCGGATTAACGATTTTGGTGTCTTTGCGATCGTAGCAGGTTTCCTCATCACCGTCATCACTGTAGCCGTCATGCCCGGTCGAGACGGACGGCCGCCGCATGCATCATCCTCCTTTGTTTGGACCGAGTGGACCGCCGACATCGGATATCCGAACGGTTTTGTCTTTGTAGCCGGAATGCTAAACGGAGCTTTCAGTGTCGGTGCCGTCGATGCTACGACCCATTTGGCGGAAGAGATCCCGAACCCGCAGCGTAACGTCCCTATTGCTCTCGGGCTACAGCTGGGCATTGGCTTCATCACCGGGTTCTGTTATTTGGTCACCATCATGTACGCGATCAACGACTATGATGCTCTCTTTAAGTCTCCGTATCCCATCGCCGAGATCTACCGTCAGGCCACCGGCTCCGCTGCCGGCGCGACTGGTCTGCTCGCCCTCGTACTCATATGCATCGGTTTGACGCTGATGGGCCTATACATCACCTGCGGTCGAACACTATGGGCCCTTGCGCGTGACGGCGCAAGTCCCCGTCCCTCCCTACTCGGACATGTAAGCCCAAGGCTGGGTATGCCCATGTGGTCTACAGTTTTGTCAGCCATCCTAGTCACGGTTCTTGGAGCAATCTATGTCGGCAGCACGACAGCTTTCAACGCTTTTGTCGGGAGCTTCATTCTTCTCTCGAGTAGCTCCTATCTCGCTGCCATACTACCTAACCTCCTCTCAGGGCGGAAGATGGTCGCGTACGGACCCTTCCACATGCGTGGATGGATTGGGTTCGCCATCAACGGCATCGCATGTTCCTACATGTTGGTGTGGTTCGTCATCTACTGCTTCCCTTTCGCTCTGCCGACCAACGCCCAGTCGATGAACTACGCATGCTTGATATGGGGCGGCTTCACCATTTTTGTTGGTCTATGGTGGTTGCTGGGGGCAAGAAAGGGGTATGAAGGTCCGACAACGACGGGCGGTGCCGTGATAGAGGCAGCATCTCACCACCATGCGGCCTAAACTACTTTATAGTCAAAAGTATGAATGTCTTTTCAATGTCAACGACTTGTACCAAAATACATGTCTACAGCTCATGCGTCCCTGCGTGCAGTAGCCTTCTTGTGACTAGCACCAACCACTTTACACAGACATGCATGACCCATGGAGAGATACCCGCTCTAGCGAATATTCAAGCGATTTGAGCACAGATCTCTCCGCTCACTCAAATGTTTCCGCCGTTAAGAGGAATAAAAGTGTCCGGACAAAATGTTGTCCTGTATCGATACGTGATTGATTCAAGGCAGGCATGGCTTGGCACTACAGCGGGAAAGTATCTAGTTCGTGAGACACGTCTTATGACACCTCAGCCGACCGTTGTGGCAGCGCAGAATCGGCTTCGCTCGGCTCGTGAAGTCATCCAAGCTGTCAACCATGTCATAGAAGCAGGAAGCTACAGCACAGCCCGTGTAAGATGCACAAGACTCCTCTACCTTTCGACTATCACTAACACGTAGAAGCAAGCGTTCAGATGAATATGTGCGTATCAGTGCTTTGACTTACCGGGGTTTCAGCAATGTATCCGGGCGGAAGGTTTTTAGGTTCACGACGTGGGACAACGGGAACGGTGGGATTGAGGGGGGAAACTACGCTGGCGGCGAAATGATAGTCCGACGCTCAACGTCTACTAATACACCATTGACGGCAGTTGTCTCAACCAATCGACACCCACCCCAACATCCCGTCCCTCCCCCAGCTCTTGCAACCCCGGGCTTTCACCGGTACGATTTGATATAGGCAAGATCTCCCGTCAGCCAGCTAGCGCCAAGCATCTGCCAAAATGAGAAGCAAGGCTACATCGTCTGCCCTCAGCGCATATAACGACACCGCCTATGCGTACAACCTCGGCACATTCCATCGCGCCGTGAGTACTTCAAGCCAGGATGCTCAGGTCTGGTTCAACCGCGGCCTAACGTGGGCGTATGCCTTCAACCATGAGGAGTCAGCGAGGTGCTTCCGGAAAGTCATTGAGCATGATCCCTTCTGCGCCATGGCTTATTGGGGGCTCGCATTCGTCCTTGGGCCCAACTATAACAAGCCATGGAAGGTCTTTGATGGAGAGGATCTTGCCGATACGACCAAACGCGCACATCATACGATCATGCAGGCAAAGAGCCACTCAGGGAAGGCTACGCCGGTCGAGATTGCGCTCATCGATGCACTGTCTTGCCGTTATCCGCAAGAGAAGCCAGCGGAAGATTGCTCTAAGTGGAATGAGGATTATGCTCAAGCCATGGACTCGGTGCTTCAAGCCTACCCCGATGACCTCGACGTGGTCGCCTTGTGGACAGATGCCACGATGAACGTCACGCCTTGGAAGTTGTGGGACTACAGGACTGGAAAGCCAACGCCAGGCGCCAGGACGTTGGAGATCAAAGACGTGATGGACCGCACATTCAGGCTAAGAGGCTCTTTGCAACATCCAGGCCTACTTCACTTATATATCCATCTGATGGAAATGTCGCCAACTCCGGAAGCCGCCCTGACTATAGCTGATAATCTTCGCGGGCTTGTCCCAGACGCGGGGCATCTCGAGCATATGCCCACGCATCTAGACATCATATGTGGAGAATACCGTCGCGCCATCGCTTCCAACTCTGACGCGATCCGTGCCGACTCTAAGTTTCTCGCCCGCGAGGGTCCTCTCAACTTCTACACGCTGTATCGGTCTCATGACTTCCACTTCAGGCTATATGCCGCCATGTTGTGCGGTCAGTCCCGGGTAGCCCTCATAACGGTGGAAGAGCTCGAGTCGACTATCTCCGAAGATCTACTACGAGTCGAGTCACCACCAATGGCAGACTGGCTCGAGGGTTTTCTCGGTATGCGAATGCACGCTCTGATACGCTTTGGACGTTGGGAAGCTATTCATGCTCTTGAACTCCCGCGAGACCCCAAGCTTTACTGCTCAACCACCGCCATGACACATTATGCAAAGGGTATAGCCTACGCTGTGCAGGGCCGAATTGAAGAGGCCGAAAAGCAGCGCATACTTTTCGCCGAGGCAGTTAAACGGGTACCGGAATCGCGCTCAGTCTTCAACAATACTTGCCTGTCAATTCTCTCCATTGCCGAGGCTATGCTGGATGGAGAGTTGGCGTACCGAAAGAAGGACTACGACGTCGCTTTCGCCCATCTGCGTAAGGCCGTGGAGAGAGACGACGCCTTGCCCTACGATGAGCCTTGGGGCTGGATGCAACCAGCACGACACGCGCTCGGCGCGCTGCTGCTAGAGCAGGGTCATGTCGAGGAAGCAGCGGCTGTCTATAGTGCAGACCTCGGAGTTGACGAAACATTGCCCCGGGCATTGCGACACCCCAACAATGTTTGGGCACTGCACGGATTCTACGAGTGTCTCATGAAGTTGGGTAGGGTTGACGAGGCCAAGATCCTCAAGCCGCAGCTCCAGCTAGCTCTGGCCGTGGCGGATGTTCCTGTCAAGTCTTCATGCTTCTGTCGCTTGAAGACGGTCGATTGACAGGTGCGGTCCCTGAGGCCTCCATCCCAGCGTCGCCTCAGAGACCTTGAGAGACCACGTGCCAGCTTATGACACTGGCTTCCAAGCGAGGAAATGGATGGTGTAGTGAGATAGATCATGAGAATAGGTATCTTCAGACTGAAAAGGGCATTTGACGGAAAGAGCATGGGCATTATGGGAAGGGCTGCATCAATGGAAAGCATTCATTTTGTGACTTGGCAAAACAAGAAGAGATTACTTTACTTTACTAGAATCGCAACCTGCTACGAAGACATGTAATGTGATCATATTTCCAGGTTGGATATGCATGCTTTCATGTTGCGTGCGTGTGGTGTACGTCTTCTCTAAGTCTTATCAATTTCGCGATCAAGGCTCCCTTTCTTCAAATAGCCTGTGGTATGCGGAAGCCATAGAGAGATTAATATCACTCTTTGTGCCAGTGTGGAGAAAGTTGTCAAATGATACATTGAACAGAGTTCTCAGTTCATCAGATTCCGGAGCAGAAGCTCAACTTGTTGATTGTCAGTGAAAGTGAGCCAGGGGAACCTCTCGATGATTTGCGGTCTTCATGCTGTCCATTAGTCTTACCAGCTCCAAAGAAAGTATGACCTGGCGTCGGCGTTGAGAACCCAAAGTATGCTGCTGTATGAGCGAATCAATGTGGCGCCACTTCACAAGCTTAGAAGATAGGAGAAGCCGGTGGGCAGCGGACTTCCAACTGCCTAATTGGCAAGTTCTGGGGCAAGGCTAAGAAGAATTGCCAAGTGATGTAAGTCTAAACCTACCAATTTACCTTGAGTTACTCTCGGGGAGGGGCCACTATGAAACATCGGTAATTATTGAATGAGAAATCCGCCAACGGGTCACAGTCACAAAGAGCTTCGGGTCGGAATTGCAACAGGTATTAGGTAAGGTAGTTGACTAAACTGAAAGAGCCAAACTGAAGCCATCCATGGAATAGAGTCAACACCTTCCGCTGCAATACTTTTTTTTCTGTTTAGGAACAACACAGTCCGCACTTTATGAGAATTGGAAGATTGAATAGTGCAAGTATATACGTGGTTTCCCGCTTTGTATGTATAAGTAGGTATGTACAAGAAGTCAAAATAGACTAGAGCTAGCCCAATGCTGAGTGCTCCAATATTTCCCAGTATGGCCTCATTACCGCTAGGGAAATGAGCAATGAATTCTACAAAAAAGTATGCTCCATACGCTTAGCCGGAGCAGGTGCCAGCCTTGGAGGGCTCGCAGCCACCAGCACAGCCATTGTACATCTGGCACTTGGTCTTGGCGTCGGCGCAGACGTTCTTGAGGGTGGCGGTGTCTTTGTAGGTCAGGTTGATTCCCGCCAGCTCTCCGCCGTTCTTGGCTGTGACACCCTCCATGTACACGTTGCGCTTGCACTGAGTCTTGCACTGTGAAGGATGAGAGAGAGAGGTTAGCTAGGTTTGCTGCGAGGCAGAGTTACAGGTAACGTGAAAGGTTGACTTACGTTTCCGCAAGAACGGTAGAGCTTGCCGTAGTCCTCGACGTAGTAGTTGATCTTTGCCAAATGTTAGCATTGCCTACTTGTGCAAACTGTAGTTGATCGATACTTACCACGTTGACGGTACCACAACCGTTGTGCTGAATGACCTTGTCAGAGGCGTGGTACGCACCACCACCGACGATCCAGGTCTGGGTTCCAGCCTTGTCGTTCTTGATGGAGATTGCGTCCTCGCAGACGTCCTCGAACCAGACAAACTCAAGAGTGCAGTGCCCGTTGCAGTGGACGCCCTCAGCTTGGTTCTTGCCAATGATGGCGTTCTTCAGGGTACCGCCAGCCTGGATGTAGAAGACCGAGTCCTTGTAGTCTTTGATAAGTGGAACGTGTTAGTTGCTCACACATAGATAATGCATGTAGGTTGGGACATTGGCTACTCACCACCCTCAGACTGGCCACCGCAGGCACCAGAGCCGCGGTCGAATCGCTGCCACTTTCCGTCGTAGACCTGACCAGCCTTGATCTCGATGTAAGACTTGGAGGTTACGGTACCGGTAGCCTTGGGAACACCACCAGTGTAGCCGTTGCAGGCGAGAGCGCCGGGAAGAGCGGCCAACAAAGGCACCAGGCCAAACTTGAGGAACTGCATGATGAACAAGAGTATATACACTCGCAGAAAAAAAAGAATGAATGTAGTAGTTGGTTTAAAGTTGAAAGGGGAGAGTGATAGGCAGAAAAAACTGGATGCGAATAGGTTGGACAACCCGAGGACTTATATGCAAACCTTCTCAAGACAGAGGTTCCTGGTTCACACAGATTTTGCCAAGGCTGGAAAGCTCACACTATCCCCATCGTAACTTGGCCACTCATCAGAAAAGTCTAGGCAAATGGGCCATGTATCGCCTGTGTCAGGAGTAGTTGAGGGGGGGTTCCCCAAGCCCGCGGCTGAAGAAACGACGGATCGCACGGGGATTCGGATCATTGGTGGACATATAAACAGGTGGGCCTGGGAGATGCCTGCATGGTTGCTTCTGCTCGATGCTTGTAGTCGCTGATGGGGTCACTTTGGAGATTTGCCCCGCGTACTGGCGTCTGCGTTGGAAACTTGGTTGTGTTCTGGTCCTGCCGAATGCTGTACCTGGCAGTCACTCGTTATCAACACGGCATGTAAGGGGCGGCAAAGTACATGTAATGAGACTGCTAGGCTCAGTTGAACCAGAAGGAGCCTGACTTAAAGGAAGAAGAAGCGCTCTCCACTGTCGAATCACAGGATTCTGTCATGTTGTATATTGCCACCAAGCCCTGAGTCTACGGTGTACCTGCAGATGTGTGAAATACTTGATCGGATCACGGGTGACGGTGTGACGGTAAGTTGTTCACCTCTTCGGCGTCCGGCCAGATGCGACCCAATCAGACGGCAATTCCGACCTCAAAAAGAGATTAAGCTAGGTGCTACGAATCTGGGAGCCCGACGACCAGGTTCTTTGCGCAAGGGGCTCCTCTGAGTTGGCCTCTTCCCGAGCAGTAGGCGAATCAAGCGTGTCCAACGAAGGTGATACCGTGATCCTGCTGACATCCTGTCTCGGAGGTCACAACAACAGTGATCTGTCGGCGAGCATGGGACCAACGCGGAAAAAGAGTACATTCTATCAAATGTGTTGTTGGTGGTGGTCTGTAAGGCGGAGTTGCCAAGACTCTTGTGTGCACAATGGGATGGATTGCCGCAGCTAAAAACCTAGTCCAGTGCTGGATGTTAATTAATGCCAAGAGTCGAAGGCTCTTGTTCGAAGATTGCCAGGGGAACTTTGCCCCGCACACCGTTCTTTTGGGCGGTGTTTTTCCATTACTCCTATGACAATCTTGCGAGGAAAAAGAACTCACCGATCCAGTCGTCGTTCAGGACGGACTCTCCCTAAAACTGAAGTATCATCGGAAGCGAACGCCATCCATCGGCCCAACCGCGACCGAGACCGAGGACCCGTGTCCTGTTCTCCGGGAGTCTGTCTGACCATGCCTAACCTTATGTAGCACCCATGTCGCCATCAGTGCTTTACCAGCACGTTTGGCGGCTGTCATCTGAAGTTCTGAGGCAGCCCCGTCTACCCTTGCTGCCTTTTCCTTATTCCTTAAAATCCTGGCCACCTGTTATCGAGGTTATTGGACCAACATTTACGCTTCCCACGTGCCCAGCCCTTGGGACCTACCTATTGCCTTTCCTCACTTCAGGGGCATTTGGGGTTATCTCCCGCTTTTCCTCCATCCGAGGGTCCGTTTCTGAGGCTATGCTGGATGTCAATCCGGCTTCTCTCCGGAACGCACAGGCAGCCGGGCGAATCGTTCTCTTCCCGCCGCCTTATGGGCATTAGAAATGGACATGTTTGCCCACCTCACCGTATTATGGTACCCATTTCACCTGAAATTTTTAGACTGTCAACGGACGCTCCATCAGAATCAATGTTCTTGAGAATGGAGAACTGGCAATCACACAGTTCTTGGTATTTCCATCAAATACTTACTTGGCGTTTCCAACAGAGCTCATTCCCGATAGTTCCCCCAGGGGCGTCTTCTGTAACATGGCCCGACATTCCATATCAGGGAGAGGTGGAAATTCTGTCTTTCCAGGCTGGGCTCCCTCCTTTCCAAACACCCCACAATCTCTCTGTGCAGACCCAACGATACTTGAGGCTATCACCCGCATATGGCTTAACAGGATTGAGACTTCGGCCGACTTTGTTAACAATGAACCCAGACAAGGAATGGTCGGACACCCTCCCCATGAGCTTCGTCCACACGGTATCACTTACAGAATGGGGGCATTCACTTAAGCTCACCGTTCACCTTTGACAAATGTGCGGAGTCCGGATCAGCAGCATTCATGCTTTGGGCACATAATCAACCGTGCTTGGAAGACCAAGGGAGAGGTTTCGAGAGACGAAGTACTCTTTCTGGCTCTCGATGGCTCCCCACGTTAGTATGCCGCTAGAGAAAAAAAAACCTCCTAGCTTGACGCGAGTGAAAACTGACACCGCGGAGTTTGGCAGAAAAAGTCGGATGTTGTCAGCTTTCATTATCAGCCAACACCATGTGCCCGTTTCGCGACCACCTTCCTCAGTCGGCCTGTGATTGTCTGGCCAAGGATTCTAGGTGAACTTCTCAAGCATGTACAATACCTCCTCACGGGATACATCTTCGAACTCATATGTCCATCCTGGCGTGCCTGGTAATCTATTCCGTCTGAAGACCGCTTCATGTGGTGCGATCCGAGGAAAAAGACAAATTTCACTCATCCCTTTCTTAACCCTGCCGCCAAGCTTCCCGCGATACCACCACCATGGATACCAAAGTCTTGGCAATCTCAATTTTCTGCTTTCATCTGGTTACGAGCGCTCACTGCAGCAATATTACCACGTCTTTTTCTCAATACTCTCGCTGTCAGTAATCTTTTCATCATTTGCTGGGTCTGCCAATCTCCGTGGGCAACATAAAGTGGAGGAAACTGGACCGACACTTCCTCCTAAGCCGTTTCCCTTATTACATGTCAGTCTCATAAAGCTCTGTAACCATAACCTGCAACTCACTCATTCGGATTCGACCTTCAATGACTGAGCTAAATAAACCGACTTCAGCATAAATAGCTACGACAGATCTAAGAGCCGAGTTACTCGCCGACCAGAGGCCGGCCCAGAGAACGGAAATGCTCGCCGCGTTACCGATGGTACCGTTGCATCGTGATCTAGTTCACATGACACATATTTTTAATATATTCTGAGGACTTCTCGGTCGAGGTCTCCCTAGAATGCCTGTGATCCACTGCCTGGGATTTCCCTTCCAATTGGATCTTCATCCGATCTAAACTCTATCGCTTGCCACTCTGGTGTTAACGTGCGGCCGGATCATTCGCCGCCCCAAGGTCTGGCGATCTAGATGAGTGAGGGTGAGTAGGGTGAATTAGGCATATGTGCAGAATGCATGTAACTTTTCCCGCCGCAGTGTTTCCGTTCACTGATGGCCAGTCATGCCTCACCCGGGCTGAGGCTGGCTTCGCTATATTCCAATTCGCAGACGCTAAGTTTCAAAATATGATTGTGGCTGCTTTGAGATGTTGTGTTTTGTCTGGCGGCATTTTTCGTGTTGAATGATCGGAATAGACACATCATCAGGCTCTTTCCTGGAACCGAGTCACTTCATAATGTTTCATCACGGACATTGATAGATGAATCTGGATGATAGCCATAAGTAATTCTCTTCGTGCATGGTAAACCAATCACTCCACGATATCTATGATCCGTCTCATCCGTTCCTTGATCGTGGCGATCTCTTGTTCCAAGCGGCGTCTCAACTCGGGGTTCTCCTCGCTTTCTGTCGCAACATTGTCATTCCTGATCAGGTCAAGAACCGACGTAATCGCGGCCAACCCAGCACGGACGATAGCTTGTAGCTCCGCCTGTACGTTATCCGCTAATAGCCTCATTCTGCTCTTGAACTCAGTCATGTGGTTTTCAAACAGATCCAAGCGACCAACAGCGCTGTGGATAATGTCTTTACGTCTCCTATCACTCCCTTTTCCTGTATTCAGTGCGGTTAACAACACATTGTAAGATCTAGTCTGTATGATCCTAACTTACCGTATTCCGCGTTGCACGCCCTGTAAGAGGCCTCCATGGCTTGGCCAAGCATGGATGTCCGGATGCCAGTGAGTGCGTCTATACGCAGCGAGCTATCTCGAAGGTAAGTTTGAGACCTTGCTCAGAAGATTGAACTGCTTACTTTAAATCAGTGCCGACTTTGTCGGTAAGATCTTCTATTTGGGACTCCATAATATTCTTGTGGCAGATCAAAGTTTCATGGAGGAGATCCGTGACTTCAGGGATAATTTCAAGCTCATTTTCTGGCCAGCATTAGCGAAGTGAGCCCAGTATGTGAATAAAAGCTACTGACCAAGAAATTCAAGTGCCCATTGAATCTGGCCCTGAATTAGACGACCGCCCTGCTCCAGTCTGGCCCTGCAAGATGTGCAGACCGAGTCCCACTGAGGTATCACATCCCCAGCCATGATGCAAATCATCTCCTGATTCCAATCATGCCACCCGACCGCTTCAGTACGGTGGTTCCCGAAGTTGCGACAGAATGCTGAGTAAGTTGCTTCACAAGTTGTTGAGTAAATATAACTAGGCGTCACTTGTAAAGTTGTAGCTTACCATGCACCCACTAAGACCTCATTAGCTAGGCGCAAGGGGGAAAAACTCGAGCGACGTACCATATCCCATTCCAGGGCAGCATTTACTGCTGCAGTCCTCCATGTATCGTTACGTCGATCTTACACATCTGGAGTCAGGCAGGCTGGTCGCCCGAGAAGGAGGTAGACCACATACTATCATAGACTCGCGTCTTGAACTCGTCCTTGATCGAGGTCCCCACGAGGCTGAGATCCGAGGTCCTTTTTGTCAACGCCTGGTTGCCGACTATCAGTTACAACTCGAAAGTAAAAGAGAAGATGTCTCGCGGATTCTCTAACCCTCTTCAGCTGAAGCTCAATCAAGTCCAGCGTGTCGCGAATTTGGTGCTTCTGTTCAGCACTGGCGGTTCCTGCACCAGACCCAACCCACAATGCAGCTTCTCCAAGTACAGCGGGAATGTCGTTGTCAATATATCTCTTGGCAGCACTCAACTGACTGTCCGCAATAATGCCGAGGCAGTGCTTCCGCAGAGCAAGGATACCGCTGAGCTGCAGTGTTGGGAGGGCCACGTCCCTCGGCCTGTGACGTTTATCCCAGTATAGGATGTTGCTAACGCAAAATACAGCGAGATTGCCTCCTGGAACTTTGTCTTTGTACGTTGTTCGAAGTTGCTTGGTAATTATGGCATTGCGTGTCTTTATCAGATACTCTTTCAGTCTATTGTCAAGGTCGGCATGTCAGCTTGCAGTGAGGCCAGGTTTTTGTATCCATTCGACAAGGCCGCCTCTAACTTACTCGAATAAGCTCTTCTTCAAAACTGTGCTGTTCGGGTAATGCTAGTCAGTGATAGCTGCGAAAGGTCTTATATAGATGTGTCTCACTAGGTTTGCCTCTGTTCCTTCTGGAGTTCATTAAATACTCTTTGGTCCTCGTCTGTCAGTTCCATTGTCCCACATTCGTCAATCTCCGCCAGTTGAAGATTAATATCTTCAGTCATTTTCCGAGTGAATGAAACTGCATCGCTCAACTGCTGGACACGATTTGCGAGTCGGCCACGCCAATCCTTCATGGCTTCTTCGGCTCGAATGTCCTGCGGGGTAGCTATTAGCAAACAACTTGAATAACAATCCGGTAGGATTAGGAGATTCCAAGACGATCTCACATCGGACTTTGTGCAGACGATCCCAACCTTGGATAAACCTGCCTGCTGCGCAAGTTCAAAGACACTTTGCACACCGGCATCTGTAGTCGCCCGTCCAATGTTGCATACGGCAAAAATCTCATCGCATTCGACTAAGTATCTTTCCGTGATAAGTCTCCGCGCCGAGTTGGAGTCACGCAGTCCTAGAAGTCATATATCAGGGACACATGGACCGCACCAAAGGATGCTTGACCTTACCAGGAAGATCGACAAGGATTAGACCCTTGCTCAGAATATGAGAGGACAAAAAGACCCTGGTTCTTCCTGTTAGAAGACTTCACTACATGACTTCTGAAGTGAGGCAAGACTTACTTGATCTTACGGACGAATGGCCACGCAGCTGGCGTCTGTGGATCTACGGACTCGGATGTCAGATGCATCAAGAAAGCAGCGCAACTATCCCGCGAAGGCTGTTCATGTATTCCTTCGAGCGGTAGGTCCATTCTTTGCAGCCAAGAACGAAAGGTTCTCAAGACAGTGGCTTCCTCCTCATTGATAAGGAAGTCTTCGCTTGCGAGCTGACCGCGGAACATGGACCGGAAAGTGTCCCGAGCGACGTTGGCCTGCTCTTGAACATCGCCAGCAGCTGCCGCTCCATCATTTCTCCTCAAATCTCCCGCGTTGAGGTGAAATATTCGGTACGACTGAAGCAGCTCTTTCATCTGCTCCATGAGATCATCTTGACTGAATAATTCCACCTCGACAGCGAAACTATCCCCGTCCTTATGGTGGTACTCGGTAACAACACAGGTGCATGCGGCTCCGCTGTTGCTCTAACAGAACGTTAACCAATGGTTGTGGCTCTACGCAAGGTCACCCATAACCTACTGTTCTAGCGAGGTCCTTTTGATCCAGGAGGGAATTCAAAACGCTACTTTTTCCTATTACTCATAAGAGAAGGTCCCCTCAATTATAGTACAGGACGCTTACCAACGCCGGAGTCTCCAACAAATCCAACGGTCCGCGTCGAAGGTCCTTGAAATTGGGCCAGATCCACCGCTTGGCCATGTAGTCGTTTGATTGTTGAATCGGAGTTGGTGTGAAGAGGGCTGTCTTCAAGAACACCCCCCAGCTGGGTCATCAGTGCCTTTGCGTCCTTGATGGCGATTTGGACCGCTGGGTCGTAGAAGCGACTCTCTGGCAGCTCCTCGTCCTTGACTTCATGGTACACTAGGGCCACTTCAGAACGCCCCCGCGATCTACGAGGGGTGCGCGGGTTCAAGGAGCTTTGCCTAAACGTAGGCGTGGGATTGTTTGATTGAGGACGTTGTTGCCCAGCATCGTCAAGAAGATTCGGCAGAGCGGCTCTCATCCCAGACAATTCTATCTCTGATGGTGTGCGATCGAAGCGTTCGATAGCAAGCCGATCTAGACGATCAGTAAGGCTTCCAGTCTCAAAAGAGTCTTGAGCTGAATTGTGCCTCCCAGGGATATCATCAGCAGGTCCATGCGAGAATTGGGAGAGTGGGGCTGATGTTGGCGGGGAGGTCGATACCGGGGGCATGGCCGGGCGAGTTGTAGGTGTACGGGGAATCGGCGCTTCTGGTAGAGTCTCGGCCCATGCCTCGGTCTCAACTGAAGGTACAGGTTCATCTGGAGCCATCCCGTTTGGCAACAACAGCTCCGGAATTGGGGACGCGTCACTCCTGGTGATAGATGGAGAGCGACTCGACTCTGGAGTGAAAGCTGAAGTGGACGATTCCTGAGATTCCGTCGTCGAAGCTGCTACTGACTGTTGCCTGTTTGGAAATGAAACTGGCGGAGAATTCGAGGACATGGATTCCTGGGGAGGCAAGGCAGTCCGAGATGAGGATTCAGAAGCCGCAACCCTTGTGGGACTGGCTGTGGCCGAGGATTGCTGATGGTGATATTCCAACGTTAACTGAGTGGGCTTCTTGACGGAAAGGATTGATATTGGGGTTTCGAGGAGAAGAACTCACAACTCTTGACATCCTTCAGAACTCGGCGGTGACAGGAAATAACCACGAGAAGCTGCAAATTCGGGCGCTTTAGCCAGTTGAGCGTGCTACCCGCCTCTTCAAATAAGTTGGTGCTCCATTCCTCTCAAGCCGTCTCATTCACGCTAGCCCGAAAGACATAGCCTCATTGCGGTTTTGTATCCTATTACAGAGACTGATTCCGTTGGAGATATCTATTCTGGTAAAGTAAAAGCACCCTTGCGGTGGGGGGATTATGCGGGCGAGGGCGGCGCAGACCTGTCCTGTTGGTTTCAGCTGCACACCCTGGGTCGTCGACCCAACCAACACAGATGGGTTAACCGGGCGAAATAAGCGCCAACAGATTCGTTGGACCATGATATGTATGCCACTGAGTCAGTCACTTGCAGAATTCTGATTCTTGGGTTGGATTGAGCTCATTGTCACATCAACGAGTCGAGAAAGCCGAATTAGACTTGCAATCGCCAGGGCTGTCAGCTTCTGTTTCAATACGCCGCCAGAAGGTCATCAGCGCTTAACAACATCCAAGTTTCTGAAACTTGCCCGTGTACACAAGGTCAGGTTGCGTGTACAACCTTGTAAGTCCATGAATGGAAAAGTCTTATGTTCGTTGTTCGGCTTATATGTGTATGATGAAGAAGCCCCAGCTCGGCATTGTGGAAGGAGAAATAGCCATAAGTAAGGTCTGTGCCATTTTATCTATGTTCTCTTTCGAAACTTAGCAGCTTCCCGTCTCCAAGGTCTGAATTGACAAATGTCTCAGCGATTGATGAACGTCTCTAGGACGCATGACTTTCCTATGTTCTCTGCTCACTGTGTCGGTGTCCAAAAACTCAACATCTGTCGTCTATCTTCCAAATTTAACAAATGCAATATATCTGCCTTACGAGATGAAGTAATATTGTGACTCTGAGGCTTTTCAAACGACCTAACTTGTTTTGCCTTTCGAAAGTTAGTGAACATCAAGCGGTCAACCAGCGAAACTTCAAAGGCCTGGATTTAATGTGTCAAGGAGTTCGAATCACTGTTCGGAGGATGAGCTGTACCTTTTTCAATGAGCTTCAACCTCTTTGATCTTTTGAAGGCGCTTTCAATAGCCAGCTGGTTTCAATGAAATGCAAGTGCCCAGTGACACGAAACTAAGAACTGGCAACATGGTTTTGAATTTGGCAGTGGGCAGATGCATCCTGAATTACGACATATGGCTAGCAGGTAATGTTATAAGTACATGACGCAGCGACTCTCTCCTATATCACACTTGCCAACGAACACATTCAATTCGCTAAAGATTCATGCAAATCGTGGGCTGTTAGCTACAGGCACTTTGCAGCCGAATGTCATGATGGTCGACTCACTACCCCATAGTCCTTAGCACGGAAGTCGGCGCTTCGGGAGTTGAGAACGTTGAACACCATACGGTTCCAGTACTATGTCTGACTGTTAATGTGATGGTTTCACTGCATTTTTGTCTACCGATCTGGATCTCGACCTAGTGTAAACATACCAATGAACTAGCAACCTTGGTGGTGTCAGCCATGAGCTGTTTCGCAGAACTTCACCTCTGTCAACTTTCTCGGCACATCCCGGTGCTGCTGGTCTTCGACTTCGTCGTCACCAGCTGGATCGTCTGCCACTTTCTGGGTATGTCCTCTGCTTATTCTGCCTCTTTGCTTGTATATACTGATTTATTATAGTAACGGTGCATATTCTGCCTGTTTTGGAAGCACTATGTGCATGGTAAGTCTTACCCACTATCAAATTCTTGAGTCTACTTATGTTTCCCTGGCGAAAGTGCGATCACTGGCAGGTTCTACGCAATCCAGATGGAGATACAGCTTTGAGTAAGAAAACATATGCTCTAACTTTCCTGCATCATTCCTCACAATCAGTAGACATACGCTAGAGTCTAGGTTTACCTACAAGACTGCACATCACTTATAAAGCTTTATTAAATTATCTCGGAGTCTGAAGGAGAGTATGAAACCGTAGCTACTACCATTGGATATACCAAATAATGGTCCAAATGCTTACATTAAACATGATTGTATTGATAGCAATTTCTTTTGGGGGGAGACTATCACTTCAAGTCAGGTAACTAATTACACCTACCTCGTTAGATAATAGATCAACTCACGTTTTCACGTGGAAATATGAGGGCCTCGGTACTTGTCAATGCGGCCTTACAAGTAGTGACTCGAAATAGTACATTCTGGGACACCTGAGTTTTGTTTGAATCGTATACTTCCCTTCGGTAACAAGACTTATCAACCCACGTTCCTGCTATGATCAACAGACACTTGTTCGTCTTCAAGTTTGCTGCCAATAATCCAAAGACCAGATCAATCGGCCAAACAGCGCTGTCCATACATGTTCTATCAGATGACTATACACATCAGATCACCAGAATACAAAGCCTCCAGCAGGTTCATCTCTCAAATATGACACCATACTCTATCCAGCATACATCCTGTGTACTCTCACCTCTATGAATGAGCTGTTAAGCACAGAGCCACATATCCAACCCGCTATAACGCAACCGACCCGATGTCGACACTAGATGTGCATTCTCACCCCCAAGCCCACGTGATCGCGAGCGCCTTCATACCTCGTACGTGGTCCCATCTGAAAACTCCTCACTCCTCTCTAGTGATCTTCTCGAAGCAATTTGCCTAACATACTAGGCAATGAACAAAGGCCCCTTCACGGCCCTGACGCTAAGAGAGGGGGGGAAAGGGGAAGAGGCGGGGAGTGTCTTGCGTAAACGGCTTTGCTCGCCCCAAGGACTCGGCAATCGGACTCGGTTCTCCCAAGCTTCGATCTTGGCAGATGGGGAGCGATTTAGCTGAGAATGACGGCGTTGAGCTTAGAACCGAAGAATAAGTTCCGTGAACGACAAACGACATCAACCAAAACTCCGCTTTAGAACCACAAGTTCCCTGATCAATCCGGCTCTCATACCGGTTCCAGGCCATTCAAAGTTTTCCATCCCCGGGGCTAAGGAAGACGATGGGCGGAGTTGTCAATGAAGATCTTTCCTCAGCTCCGTGTGCGTGGCTTCCATGGGGGTTTGGGAAGATAGTGCGGCGATATCTACGTGCCTGACGATCTCTACCCCCACGAGACAGAGCCGCGGAGGGCTTGGTGGACCACGCGACCAAGTAACAAAAGAAACCAATCACGATCGAACAACAAATGTTGGATCAAATTACATGGACTATGTTCCGATTCCCTGAGCCCCAGCAACGCCAACAAATGGGAGATCCAAAAAGGCCCTCAAGCTGGTTTGGCAGCTCGGGAACGCACACAAGCTGAAACCGCCACTTGCGTAGTTGGCGTCGAAAAGAACGCTACCAATTGTGGGGGGGTTTTGGGAAATACCTGATGAGAAATGGGTTAGCCGAGGTGGGACGGCGTCAAGGAAACAACACGTAGTGGTCGCTTGCGTTTAACAGATCGAGATCGAGATTGTGGGAGAAATTGACGCATATCCGACTGAAGGCTTCTCCGCAGACGCGTCGGCCATGTCGTTGATGATGATGAGCACTCGACACAGCCGGCGTTGACAACGAACAAAGAAGAGACTGCCTCCGCTTTCTGTAGTTTGGCCCAAATAGAAAACGTTCCCAACCGAGAGGATCTCTAAACGCGCGTGTCCTGTTTGCCTTCCAAAAGGCCCGATTCGTACAGATGGCGAACAGGTCTAAGGGTCATTAGTACCCTCAGGAACCCCCTATAGTCCATATCGAAATCTTGATTCGCGATGAGATCTTATCCGCTTCATCAGCCAAACTAATTGACCCAAAGGGTACGGAGTAGAGACCCCGAAAGGAACAGATGGATCTTGCGTCGCCGGCCGGCCGGGCAGAAAAAAACAAACACCAACGAAAGAAAGTAAAATGCGTATGTAACAGGTCTTCGTCAAACAACTCCACAGCAAGGCCGGCGCCGTTTCGGGCTACGCGGATCACCCGGCTTCCGACGCTAGTCGTTTTCCCCGGCGAAGATCCTCATCTCGGGCGGGTCGGCGAGCGAGAAGGAAAAGGAGCAAGGGGAAAAGTGGAGCGAGACCCGTCAAGCAAGTCGTCGTTTGGTTCAACCGTTGCCGTGGCTCATCGTCTAGACGGTATGAACCAACCCCTTACCCGCACCCGTAGTGTGCTTTTGAAGATTCGAGCCTTTGACGTCCAAATCCTGCTGTTTCCACTTCACTTCGCCAGTACCAGCTTTCCAAAAGGCTGGCGGTCCGGTAGTTTGCCCTGGAAGAAGAGAAGGAAAACGGAGCAGTCTTTGTTGCAGCTTTTGGTTCGGGCATTGTAATCCTTTCTTGTCTACGTGGAAACATAGTCTACCTTGGTTTTCGCAACGTGGAAGGGGTGTGTATGCTGGAAACGCATAAATCGTGTAGAGCAGATAGATGTAACGTTCGAAGTCCGCGCTGATCATGAAGAGGCTAAGAGGCAAGCAACGGTGAAGTATCAAAGAACAATGGTATTACGCTTGATATACGACAAATATCCGCCACGGGGGTGAGAGTCTACTCTAGCTCTACATTTGGGGCATTTCACAACTCGGCACTCCGGTCCGTTAGCGGTCTATTCCGCGCCAGCACCAGATCCACCAGCTCCTTGCCGGGGAAGTCGATAATCACGATACCCGTCATCCCGCTATCCCCCCGGTCCGCCGTCGCAGCGAGCCAGTCGCCGGTGCGGTCATTAATGCCGGCCACCGTCCGGTTCAGGTTCCCCGCCGCGGCCTCGATGGGCAGCACGCCGACGCTGGCGCTCAGGTGCGCGAGGTAGAGCACGCGGTTAGCGTGCGGCTTCGCGGTGGCGGCGCGGCGGAGGGCGTTCTCGACGGCCTCCCACTTCATGTAGAGATGCTCGACGCTGGGGATGATCCAGAGGTCCTCCAGGACCATGTCGGCCGACTCCCAGATGACGCCGTACGGGCTCTCGGGGCCCTTTGAGGGGAAGTTTTGCAGCAAGAAGATCTTGCCGCGAAGGGCGCCGAGGGTCGGGTAGGGCTTGCGCGGGTTGTGCTTGCGGAAGTGGGATTTGGCGCCGGGGGAGGTGGCGGTGGAGTTGTGCAGGTAGTAGTTGAAGGCGTCCTCGAAGGTCATGCTGTTTGTGCCGAGGGGCCTGCCCTCCTCCTTGAGGCGCATGACGATGGTCTCGCTGGGGTGGTCGTCGAGGAAGTCGAAGAGGGTGAGGAGGACCTCCGTGTAGGAGTGGCCCGTGTACATGGAGGCGTGGTAGATCTCTATGGAGTCGTTGACGAGGCGGCCCCGGATGTCGAGGTAGCGCATGCCGGCGTGCAGCTGTGCTGAGAGGTTGTGGTTCTGGCATTGGAAGACCTGGTTGGTGAGGTCGTAGGTGAGGGTGTCGTGGGTGCCCGGGATGGAGAGGGAGGTGAGGTTGGCCTCGTCCGGGATGGCCTTCATCCATTCGGCGTGGTCGGCCTTGTCGACGTCGAAGGAGTAGTGGGATTCATAGCCGCGGTAGCAGTGGTTCTTGGACTTGACGAAGCAGGGGGCTAGTGAGAGGAGGACGGAGAAGAGGGCCGAGACGAGGAGGAAGAAGGAGAGGACGTAGAGGAGGGGCATGCAGTGGAAGCGCATCTTGTGAGGCTACACCGCGGTCTATAAACCGCGGGGGTGTGTGTGAGAGTGTGTGATACAAGGCACGCGTAAGTGAGTGAGTAAGTGATACACACACTCGTTTGAGGTGAGTGAGCGAGTGAGCGGGATGAGTGAGGTTGTACTGAGATGCAGAGACGCGGACGGGGGGGGGGTGTGATCCGAGAGGTCCGCGATGCACGGATGAGGCTCCTCTCTCGGGTGAGACGCGGATGACGGAGCTCCTGGCACCTTGTCTGGCTCGCTCGCGGTGCGGTGCTCTGCAGGACACCGGCACGGAGAGGGTCCCCACCGCAAGGCTCGGCAGCAAAGTCTTGTTGGAACCGTTGAAGAAAAGGGGGATATGCCCGAGACTCGGTTCTTTGAAACGACGTCCAATTAGGTACACAAGAAGTAGAAGAAATGATGTACAAACAACAAAAACCGAGTCTCCCACACGTAACTTCTCCCACACACTCTCTCCAAGAAAGTAGTCAGAAAAAGAGAAGGTTCAGGGAGGGGGACGGGGCGCGGACATGTGAGGTTCAGATGCTTTCACTGTTGAGGGAGACTCGAGAGTGAGAAGCGAGAATGAGAGTGAGAGTGAGAGTGAGCCTCAGAGCTTAGCCGAACGTCACGTCACTGGTTTCCTCCCTGTTGGACGTCCGCGGCGTGGCTGACCTTTGGAAGGGCCCACGTGCGCCGCATGAAAATGAATCGAAGACCGCACCAAAGTTGTTCCGGAATTGCCTTTGCCTCCGGGCGGGACGCGGGCGGCTCAAAGCGCTCCACCATCTTTTTTGCGGGTTGCCCCTGAGATTATAGGGGTTATCCTGACATTGGGGGAAGCGCTCTGTGAACTTGAAAAGTGGTTGAAACGTGAAGCAAGTTGTTTGTATCCATCACGAACATATCAGCATCGTGTACGACTGTGCCAAGCTCGGATACTAGTCCCAAAGGTACGGACACCATATCTCAAAGCCACTAGATAGTCGACGGGCGATAAGACCATGGGATCAGCACATAACGTCCACTGTCCAGGGCCCGTAGGTCACGGCGGCACAACCGTACTATTACAGGGCAACGCTCTGCCCCCGCGTGCGGCATCGGCGGGAACAGCACGCGGCCGATCCTGGCCCGGCCACCGCCGAAACAACGACAGCTCGGCCCGCCAACCAATCCTCAGCCAGCATTCGGGTAACCTTTTCGATTGCTCGATTATCATGGCTCATGTTCTGCCGCCATGTCTTACGTTCTTATGATTCCCCCCTGTTTTCAAAGATAGCCTCACGAGACGACTTCATCTATCCAGAACTCGAAGAGCGTCGCACGAAAGGACATGGTGGAATGGTGAAACCACACCGGGAACATGCGGTGAGTCGGGCGTGTAACATCACACAAGATAAACAATAGAGAAGGCCAAAAACAAGTTGTTGGAAAAAAGAGACATGCAAACGCAGCCAGCCGGCTTGCCGGCACCCCGGCCGGATGGTCACGCATCTCGTTACTTCTGACCCCCCTCCCCCCACGTTTGTGATAGGCAAGGTGGTTGGGACTTGGGACTTGGGACCGTTGATCATCGATGGAAGTAGTCCCCCGCGCTGCATTTCTCACTCTTTCGGCCGGTATACTATAATCTGCGAGTCCTTTCGAATCGCAAGATAGTTTGTATCTGCATCTCGCGGACATGTCTTACCTGGTGCTGCTGCTTCACACTCCCAGATCATTTTATGGTTCCACTTCCGCCGCCGCAACCGCTGTCGCCCGACTTGCGTTGATCATAAACAAGAACCTCTCCAGCCTCTCTGTTTTCATCAATGAACCAACCATATTCCCCCAAAGCACACATTGAACCACAAATACCTCCCAAGGCCCTGTCCTGCAACGCACATATCCGCTGCCTGAGGCTGGCCCCCCCACCAAGCATCTCTCCACCGAAAGCGGGCAGTCACGCTGCACCTGTGCGGATGCGTACATGACGTGACCCGCCGCCTTACGCTGTGATGAAGCTCTGTCCACTTGAGCGTTCTTGATACTCTGTACTCCGTAGATGATAGACTTCATTAAGCACAGCTTATGACCTGGGTTCGACCATTGACAATCTCACATCGTTCGATGGCTGGATGGCGGGGTAAGACGTGGAGTAGCAAACCAGAATAGAGGCGTGGATGTCCGTTCTCGCGGTACACGGTAGTCAATCATGGCGCCATGATGCAAAAGTATTGTTGATACAAAGGGGTTCCCGCATTCTTCATGAAGTTTTGGTACGGTTTACGACGCTGGCTGGATAGTGCTTGAGGTTAAAGTACTCGCCAACAAGTGGTCAACCACCTCAGAGGGTTACAATTGTGAGGCTGAAAAGAAAACCAGATATAGCCCAAGTCTGGATTACTATCAAGAAAAGCATCCTCGTCCCCGGTTGAGCGATAACACCTTCAGAGTTTTTGGCAACGACTGAGGAAAAGGAGGCTCAATCACACCGTCTTGACACGAAACGACGGTAAGCTTGAAGGTAGGTTAGTTAAGCTACATGCCAAATTTCTATTGGATTGTCAGGCGGTCGCAATCTTGACAGCGACAGTGGCAGTTCCCATTGGCACCTCGCAATACGAGTCCTTCCTTTGACACTGACAGGTCAACATCGGGTTTCAGAAAGAAACGCCTTCAGCCTGGTGGTGGTAGTGGCAGCTTGTGCAATTGCCACTCTCGACTGTGATCCTTCAGGCTGATGACTGGGCAGTGGTGAAGGTAGTTTGACGCTGACGAAAGACACTCGTCCACGTCGAGGAATCCTTCCATCATGACAGCTCGAAGCGAATCGTTCACTATCATGAAATCAAAAGACTGCAACGGACTGCAATGTGACGGTCAAGACTCTTTTCTCGCCACTTGTGTACTGCGTATCACGGGCACGGCAGAACGTGCCGCGGAGAGGTTCCCCCTCCAAGAGCCACAAGTCGAGCACGTCAGGACTTCCGTAGCCATAGCTCCCCCGGTCAGCTCCAAAGGTTTTACTACTGTACAGTAGGTACTCCGTAAGCCTATGCTCCCCGTGGCTCCTTACAAGTCGAACTCGAAAGCCCGGCATCGCGTATCTTGGTCCGTGTTCGCGGCCTGCATCACTAGTCCCCGAGAATAGAGGGGGAGGAGGAGTTTGGGGTGCCTTGGGAGCTTGGGAAAGGTTGTAGCCAAAAACCTAGTGCGGCGCACGAACCCGATGAAGAGGGTTTCCATCTCGAACAACGGGATGGACGAACAGTGTAAAGTTGGAGGGTGGAGTAAAAAGCGAGAAGCAAATAGTACATAGACAAGAAGCTCCCGAAATCGCCGCCGCCAGCGCCGGCGTCCCTCTCCGTGAGTATTCCCCTATCCAACCGTCTTGGTATCGCATAGTTGAACATTCATCCCCCAAGTCAACGGAATTCATCAAGAAACAAAAGACCATGTGAGAGTCAAAGTCTGCTCCCCCCCAGAGACATCTGATTCCCGAGGCCTTTTGCCGCCCGCGGAAACAAAACACAAAAAAAGATGAGATGACTTTTCTGGGTGAACCGCCGTATGCTTCCAGCTCCCAAGACTCCCCAATCCCGCCCCCGACGGCTTCATGTGATCCGAATCGCGCCTCGTATCCCCCCAATCTTTCCCGCATCCAACCCCCATCCCTTTTCGTATGCAGGCGTCGCGCTGCATACAACCCACCATCAAGTCTGCAACCACCACCACCAACAGCACCACCTCCACCACAGAGAAGGGCGGAGGGAACCGCTCGTCGTTCACATCATTCAAAAAAGGCCCATTCGCCAATCGCGCGCGAGAGGGTAGGTCCCCTGCGATTTCGACAACAAGAGCCTCCAAGAAAGATCGTCCCCCCCTCCCTCCTCTCTACAATGTACATGCATACATGCAAGTCGCGATATGAACGGCGAACGGCGTCTCGCTTGGCGGATTGCACCAATTCGCAGAAGAGCCAAGAAAACCCCAAGAGGAGACCAGCACTCGGGACACTGAGACTCCGGGGTCTATTAGTGCGAACGAGGCTGCGATCTTCTTCGCGCTGCGGCCATTCGTTTCAATACTACAGGTGTTTGAATTAGTGCGAAGAACTGGGATTTGAAAGGTTAAAGAAACTCAGAAGATAGAAAGGATCGAAAAAAGAGGTAGGCCAAAACCACCTTGTTCCTTGTACGGAGGAAACGCCGCGCCTATCGGGCCTTTGGAAACCAAATCTTGTTTCTTGCGGCCATCGGTCGATGGCAGGTAGGACCTTGTCAAGTTGTCACTTTTTGCTTGCCTTCCTTACCGTAGACAGTAGCCTGCTCGCTGCCGCTTTTGCCCCGCAGCCGACTCCGCATCCATTGGAGATGGCTGAATTGACTTTTTGGGATTTTGGATTTTGGATTATTATTTTCGAGATCCTCCCCGGTGGCCGGAGCAGATGGCTCTATCTGCGGAAGCGATTCGGCCTTTTTTGGGTTTGACAACTCCGTCCGTCACCACAAAGTTCTAATGCGTGGGCAAAGTGTAGAGCACACACCAAGCTTCTCGCGTCTTCGAACCAAAAGTGAAGCCATGAGCAGAAATGTCGTGCGAGAAAAGACCATCCGGCGGATTTGTGATCCTCTGTGCAAGCCTGGTGACTGTGGAGGCAAGAGAGAGAAATCAGCCCCCGGATCCGGCGCCGCATTCCCGCATACGATTTTGCGGCATGAGGCCCGATTCGTGCCGGAATGGCGTGGCATCTACGGCAGGATTGGTCCCCTCTGTCTTCCAGGAGGCTTTGTTTATCAGATGCAGATGGAGATGTAAACCACGAGGTTGGTGATACGAAGTCGAAGCTCGTCATGTGGTGGTAAATCGTACCCACGCTTAGTCATGGGGATGTCAGACTAACATGATGAGTTCTCGCCGCATGGTGTGCCCGACTGTCAATATCATGATGCGACGCAGGTGAGCCTTGTTAAAACGGGTTGTAGCTTAAAAGGCAGGCTGGGCAGCGCATATGAATGAGTCTCTTGCCGAAGGTCGGCGAGGTTTATGAATATGGGGCCCCGGTCTCCGATCGGAAGCTTCAGGCAGGCGTGAGCTTGAAGGTTTTCGGCGTTCCGGGGGTGGTGGGATGAATGAGCGGCGGGGAATATCGTGGCACGCCTATTCCATTGTCCCCTAGCCATCCGTCCTTTTCTTCTGTGAAGAAATACCGAACAGAAGCGAGTAATTATTTCTCCGGGATCCTCCAAAACAATTGGACCAAATCACTGCTTGTGGCGGGGTTCTGGAAAATAAGTGCCGCAATATTCTGCCTCTTTGCCTAGGTGGTGGCGCATCTAGGCTGATGTTTCGAGATAACCATGGTACCAGAACTTACTGCGTAGGACTTGGAAGCTTGCCCATCACCCCTGCGGCTCCGGTTGTTTGGATGCATGCGACCATTGCCTCGAGCGTTGCCGAATGGGGCTAAAGAGCTCTCCGACGCGACCACGGTCATGGATTCGCATAGTTTCTCTACAACATGCTGGTGCTGGTAGAAGCCAGGATGCTGAGGGTTTCGTCCGGTGTTCCCTTCTTTGCTTAGACGATAGCTTCGATTTACCGGACATGGGATGTGTTGAAGACCAGGATGACAAGCGTCTAAGTCCAAGGCAGAGCAACTCGGAGGGTGACAGTGGCAGGCACACACAATTAACAGAAAGCGGCCCAAGAGCCAAAACAGCACGACCAAGTCGGTAAAGCACTGCCGCATGTGTTTGGCGCCGGTGCTCCTGCCCTGGGAAGGGGAAGGCTCGACGATGCTCACAAATCAAAACCAATGGTTCCTAACGAGCAGAAGGGGACATACCCCTTTGCAGCAAGAGGGTAAGGTACGGTAGTCAGGGAGAGCGTTGAGGGTGTAACCTGATGCGGCGGCTCAGGCCATGAGGGGGGGCACTGGGGGATTGCAACGGGGGGGGGGGGGGCTTTTCATAGTAGCGCAACGCTAACACGTATTTTATCGCGGTGCTATGCTGTTATCGGCGCGCCAGGCGAGTACGTGTACGGTGAATTTGAACTGGTGTGTTTGGTGGGTGTGAGTGCGGGCGGGAACGTTGGAAAGGAACAGTTCCATGACGAGAACAACGATGGACGCGATCCGGCTGCTGGACTGACTGCCTATGCAGATGGACGTGGCCTGGTATCTGGTGTAGATGAATCATGGACGTGAGCCGAGAGAACCGGGCAGAATGGAGTGTAATGGACCAGAAATGACTCGGCGTGCCAGTGGGCTCTGGCCTCCGGGTAACCCGCTACGGGACCGTACTTGTCTATCAGCGTCAGCCCGTCTGGGCGGGTAACGACACCAAGCACAAGACACGAGAAATGGGCTAGAAAGCGGTGCGAGTAAAAAGGTATGTAGTTATTCGAAGCCCGGGACAAGATGTGAACGTTCGCTGACAGCCCAGCAAACGATGAGACACCCAGGCGCCATGTCAACGGCTAAGTGAGGTAAAGTATCATATAGTAGACATGTTATTAATGCCGTTTGCGCCCCCGAAACAACCGGCGCCCCCGGCCATGGTGTTCCTGACCTCGTATAGAGTGACTACGTGACTGCAAACAATATGGTTGGGGAATAGCCTATGAGAGGTGATTGAGAGTCAACTCGTAACCAGAGAACAAGCAGGACTTCAATGCCGGATGAGGATAAGACGAGGAGACGGTAGGAACCGGCCAGAAGGATGCGAGAAGAACCGAATGCTGGTGAGATAGACCTGGTGTTACTAGTATGAGAGCGAGTGAGTACGAACGACATGTGTTCTCAGCACAGCAACAATGGCCCCAGAGACCGAGAGGCAGGATAAGACAGACGAAACGTGGTCGCCCTGCACGCAAGAACAAGCGAGTGTGAAATATGCGTAAAATAAATGTCAATATGGAGGTTTCTGTCTGATGGTGGATGCATTCACGACTCAGACATTTCTTGGAACAATCAGCAAAGTGGGCGGAATAAGATAAGCAACAAGATTGAAGGGGCTGATGTAAACGTCGAAATGTCCAACCACGTTAAAGCTTTTGGATTCCCCGGAGCCGCGGGAATTGGACTGCAGTCAAGGCTCAAACCTGACGCTGCAGCGCGCATCTCCGACATCGTATTCACCATGGCATGGTGTGTGTTGTTCTGTGAGTGTGTTGCCTCACTCGAGGCGGATCGATTATCCACCCACCTATCCATCCATCCCTCACCGATTGAATCAGCGAATGAGTGAGGGCGAGGGCGGACGGTAAAGCAAAATAGCATGTTCCAAAGTTGGCAGTGTAAATTGGACCCGTGGAGGCGCCCACCCTTGCTTGGGTCTGGTGTTTTAGCGACGAGATCATCGCTGTGGGGGAGAACTCTGTCCCTGTTCCAGCGCTTGACTTCAGCTGATGTTGTACCCGGAGGTTTGGGGTATCGGAGTTGGGGGGGGTTGGGGGGTTGGGGAGAGCTTGAAGGCCTTGAGTGAGGGGGAAAGGGAGAGAATTTGAGTGAGAGACAGAGACAGCCGCTGAAGGCAGCTGAGAAGATGTCGGGCTACGGCAAGGAATGCAGGCATCATGCCTCCCACGTACGCATGTCTAGTTCGTGTTGCCAGGCACGGCACAAGCGGCCAGAGAGACAACGTATCCATCCGTATCCAGCTGTTTTTTATGTTGTTTTTTTATGTTGTTTTTGTGCCATGCCAGATCCACCTATCAACGAGCATAGAGATGGAAGAAGTCAAGCGCTTGCTGGTCAGTGCTTTCTGGAGCTTGAGAGTGGAGAGTGACGACATCCAACATGGGCTCAGGGGATCAGGGGTGTGAAAGGAGCAGGGGTAAAGTAGAGAGGCAGGGGGGGTTCTTGGAGGTGCATCTTGGGAGTGACAGATCATCCATCACTCATTCGAGTCTCTCTCACTCAAGTCCGAGTCCCATACTGCGTAGACGGAGAACAAAAGATGAAGGAGTGACTATGATCATGAAGAAGAAGAAGAAGGATGGAGTTGGCGGCGGTAATAAACATTTGGCTGCCGCCGCGATGCCTGCCACTTAGACAGCATTGATGGGATTGACAGACTCTCAGTCATTTCGACACGGCGGCGGGAGGAACGCAAAATTGAGATTGACGGACGCCGCGTCTGCTCATCCACTCACACAGCCGCATCGTTGGTTCGTTCTCGGGCACTTCTGTCGGTCCGTCCGCATGCTGCGTTTGATTTGGATGTTCGTCGAGACCCCTGCAAGCTCGACTAACAGTGCGCTGCTCACGACGCCACAGCCGGTCTAAGCTACATCAGGCCGAGCTCGGGATGGATGCGCCGGGCGCGCGCGAAGCGGGACTCCTTGGGCCATTCTGCTGTGACCGGGATGTCGTGTCGACTTCAGTGCCAATGGTGGGGGGTTTGTGGTTTTGGCACCTCTCTCGCTGATTGTCCGTCGGATGGAGATAATTAATTCCCCTGCCGTAGGGCAGCTTGGAGAGTCAGGGAAACCAGGTCCAAGATGGCGAAGACGGCGAAGGGTCGGCGAGCATCATATAAGCAGGGCGAAAAGACGAAAGGGTCCTTTTGAGTACGAAGTATTGACTTCCGCTTGTTGCACTTGGCTATCTTTGTGCAAGTTGTGTCGTCGCGAGGAAAGGCTTGTTATGCGGTTGGACACAAGTGGTATAGCCGGTATATTTACTGTGTATACGGAGTACGGAGTATTGCTATCTGTATCTTTGTTAGCTTGCGGCTTTCACAAGACAGGCAGGAGGCGCACTTGCTGCTATCCCAATCGCAGAGCTCATGGCCGGCCGGCCGTCCACTGATCCGGATTGGATGCGAATGCAACGGTAAAGTTGCAACGTCGTTACACACATGCTTGGGTACCATGTGCGTGGTGATGGTCTTTGATATTTCTTCTGGGGTCTCTTATTAGGACAGTGCTCCAGTGAGTATCCGTAGCTTGAGGTACTATGGGCGGCAGGCGTCCACATATTGGGAGGGTTGTGGTTTGTCGCTGAGCGTGTTCCATCGACCGCTACCAGCACCGAGTTTGTCTCTGGCGGGCCATTCGCAAGCTCGCACGCGGACGCAACGCACAACATGCGTGAGGATGATCCACCGGGTCATGCTGTTGGGTTTCTCAGCTGTCGTGTTGCACTCTGATACTTGGAGAGAAGAGCATTGGCATTGGCACGTCCAATCGGATGAAAGATGCGATGGCCTGTTATGTTCTTGGGTGCAATTGGGATCGATGAGCATTGTAAGAGAAACACAGAGAGAAGAGAGATCCCAGAGAACGTGATCGAGGTGAGCTGAGGTGAGGAGAGAGTGTGTGTGGACTTTGGACTGTACTGTACTGTACTCCGTACGCAGTATCTACACAGCAGAAGCAAGAACCACCCACCCCCGTCCTGGTTCCTTCCTGGTCCTGGTCACAATCAAATGGGGTCGTGTCCTTCCTGCCTGGTCCTGGTTTGATGGCCCCACTCCAGTCACGTCAAATCCACTTTTTCTTTTTCTTTCTCTCCTTCTGCAAGGCAAGTTCCAACCACCCGCTCACTGGGCTTTCCTTCTAATTCTATGTAATGTTGCAACTTTCCTTGTGCTGTTGGCAGGTGCTGCAGCCTGCCAGTAACTGCTGCTGCGTGCGTCGTTCTTGACTTTTGGTGGTCGTTGCTCGGCTCGTGCTCGCCTCATTCGTCTTCTACACACACGGACAGTTGCCATCCCATCATCCCAAGAAATCCACTCCATCACCGTCTTGTCTCTAGCGTCTAATCCTCCTCTCCCCCCACCGTCGTCCTCCTCGGATTCCCCAATTGTGCCATTCTAAATTTCTACTGATACTCCCCATGCCCATGCCAATTCATGATCATCCATGGTATCCGTAGCCACCGTGACACGCCCCCCCTACCTTTTCTAGCTCCCAGAAAACAACCCGCAACCGTGACCTGGCTTCTGCCTCTTTACCTGTAACTCCTCTTCCTCGATCCACCTTCTTTTTCGATATTGGAATCTTCTCTCCTTCTCTCTTCTTCCTTGTCTGCTCTTCATCAGCCTACGGTGTGCTTGCCTAGCTAGACTCCATTCGTTTCCCTCATCCTTTTCTTGTCATTATCGTCAACTTTTTTCTTCTCTACGCTATTCCTAGTGTTCCCACCCGTTCTCTGCCTCCGCCTTCGCGCCTTCGTCTCTGTTGGTGAACTTGGTGAAGCAAGCATCCCCCGGCAAGACCGACAGAGAGACATACTCACGAATCTCTGTGTTCGTACCTACGCAGTATTTGCACTCCGTCCAGATACAGAGGGGGAATACACCACCACCACTACCACCACCACCACCACAATCGCTTCGCTGCAGCTCTTGCCTGCACCCAGTCTCTCGTTTCCCTCCCCGGCCCTTGCTTACTTGGGTCTTGGGTCCCCAGCTAGCTACCTTAAGGTGCTGTTGCTGCTAGCCTGCTGCATTTGCCCTGTTGCCGATGCCGTTGTAGCTGCAGATACCGGTTAATACCTTACGAATTGCATTCTGCTGCTTCTGCTGCTCGGCACCAACCACCAATTCCACCTCGCTCGCTCGCTGGTCCACTTTCTTCCCTGCTCTTGCGGCTTGCCTCCTTCCCTTCGCTTCCTTCCTCTTGGCGCCTGCTTCTTTTTTTCTACCCGGGGCTGCCTGACCATCACCACTTCTCCAACATCACCCTCACTTCACCTCTTTCCTCCACACCTTCTCCTCCTTCCCTCCTCCTCACTCTCTTCTCCTCCCCTCCACTATCCGGACCACGACCACATCACAGCAAGGTCGACAACCTTCTGGACGACAAAGACAGCATCGGCCCTGACTGATTGACAGACCCTGCGCATCCCTGACCCTCAGGCCACACCTTAATCGAGGGAACAAGGACGCTGTTCATTATTAAAAAGAGGGAGGACCATAATTATACTCGGACTCTTGCGCACCCGGTCGTCTCGTTGCTCTTGTCTCAAAAGGTCCCCAATTCTTATCCTCAATCATCGCGCTAGTTGTCTCTAGGGGCAATCATCTCAGTCACTGGTCCATCGGTGCTTGGCTACTCTCGGCTGCCAGTAATTATTCGCCGCGTTCACTCTTGGGTTTTCACATCCGAACCCTTTCGCCCTCTTGCCCCATTCACACTTGGCGCCAACAAATCTCGTACCAAACGCCACGACCCGGCCTACTTGCCTTCCCATTCTCTTTCTCTCCCACCTCCCGGCCTCAACCTCATTTGAGTCGGCACCTATTTTGCGGCTTTTACGCTTCCAGTCTCAAGCAACGATAGTCGATACTCGAAATCCGGACCAGCTGCGGACAACACTCAAGGTCATCATCGACGACTCCTGCGGTCTCCCGCTTGCCTGCGTGGTCGTGTAGGACAGGCACAGCATCTTACCTTTGGGAGCACCTTTTAACCTTTCCTCCCGCCGCCCACCGACCGATCCAGACGTCAGATGTCAGCCCCGTGAGCGCCTGACTCCAGCAAGTGTAAGTCCAGAGGCCTGAGGAGCCCAGCCATTGGTCACGAGTTTATCTTGTGAACCTAAAACTACTCCTTCCCCCTCAATATTGAATGTCTATACTGACAGAAAATCTCTCAGTACAATTGTCTATCGGGACGGATCCATCATGACTTTTACCGAACGAACGACGAGATGCTTGGGCATCTTTGCCTTGGCGCTATCATCCTGGGTGACAATGGCACAGGCTGCGCCAGAACCCGAAATCCTCATGCCTCGACAATTGACGCAGAACCTCTGCTCTAATACGAACACGGCATCCATGAGCGCAAGTACGTTGGAGCCCTCCCAGGAAGGCATGACATGGCAACGCTACTTGGGGCTTTCAACATCCTCGGCCAGCTCTGCCTTTGCCTTCCTCTGCCCACCCGCATACAATGGCTAATTCACATCTGTAATAGATCTAAGCACATGGCAGACGAATGGACTATGCACCGACTTCTGTCGAGACAAGAACTACGCCTTTGCCATTGTCCAGTGGCAGTCCTGCTGGTGTTCTGATGTCGCGCCGGCCGCGTCTAGCGAAGCCGAAGTGAGCGACAAATGCAACGATATCTGTCCCGGCTACGACATCGAGCACTGCGGCTCAAGGCCCAACTACTACGGATATCTGACGCTGGCGAAGACTCCTACCAGCACCGCCGGCAGCGGAGGTGACAGCTCGTCATCGTCCAAGGCAGCAGCCAGCACTACTACACAAGTGAGTACAATCCCCTCAGCCATGTATCGTGAATTGCCTGCGTGATTCTGCGTGATCTCCATACCCTTCACGATCCCGAACCTCATCCCCAGACTCCATCGTCTCACCTCCACCACGTGTGATGCCTTGGCTTAATCGTCTGGAAACCAGGCCCCTCCGGCCCCGCCTGCAACAACCGTACAAGTCATCACAACAGTAAAAACTGAGACAATTCAGAACACAGTCACGCCCGATCCGGAAACGACGACTACGTCAACAACATCTGTATGCTCTCAAAAGTCCCAACAACATGCCGTGCCCGTAAACCTGCATTTGACAAATGAGGGGGTGTGTCACTGACACGAGCAAACGCTGACTGAGAATCCAGACTTCGAGTAGTAGCAAACCGAGATCGACGGTTCAAACGGTGACAGCCGACGGAACCGTGAGGACCATCTTCGTTACGCCAACTGCCACGGGCACCGAGGGAGCAACAGGCGCCTCCGAACTGACGCCCGGCAGCCAATCGTCGTCGAATGGACCCAGCACCGGTGCTGTTGTTGGAATCGTGGTCGGTGTTATTGCCGCGGTCGTGGCCATTGCAGGACTGGGACTCTTCTTGTTCTTCAGACGTCGGAGACAACAGCAAAACGAGAACGACAAGTACGACGAGCCTAGCCATCGTGGTAGTTCCGCCGGCATGACCGGCTCGCCACGAAACCCCGAAATGGTTGTCACTGTTGATGGAGGACGATGGGATCCCGACGCCTCAAGCGACCATCGCCGAAGCCGCCTTCTCGCTCACGACCCTCGCCTGGACCCTCTCCCGAGAGGACTCTACGTGCACAACAAGAGTGCAGAGAGTATTAATACTCTACGCGACGACCAAGATTACTCCCGCAAGGTTCACCAACCAGTCTTGCGGGCGACCAACCCAGATCCTGACACTTGACCAAGGTCGATGGAGTGATCGGGCGGACCAAGACAACGAGATGCCATACACTCGTTTACGACGTACACGAATTCGGTCCAGGTACCAATTTTCGGTCTTCGCATTGCGTTTTTGAGATACCAGGACGGCGTTTCCATTCATTTAACGACTCTGCATAGAAGGATTCTGGATTGGGTGGCCCTCGCGGCAACACCGGGCGTGATAAGGTCGATCGGTCAGGATCGACATCCGCCGCAGTACATTATGGGGATAAGGCCACTGAACACGAACACGAACACATCACATGGGCAACACGAACGCAGAGGACGACGGCTGCCATAATTTCGATTCTCTATCTCCCCTTCGACTGGTGGTTTGGGAGTTGTCGACAGCTCAAAGGCGATCATCAACGTCGGCGGGGTTCCTTTACAAGCCCGAGCCAAGTGATCATAGACGAAGAGCCCTGCCTCCCCGGTATGAGAGTCGGGCTACGATTCTTCGGGTATGACGACGGCGGCATTTGTACATACACGAGCGGGCCATGGGCCAACAGCGAAACGACTTGGACAAATTCACGACGGGTGGATGGGTGAGATTGGTTACAAATGGTAGCAGTTTTGGCACCATTCCTCTTTCCATTGGGCACACATTTGTGGGTGACGATGCATCCACGACACGTAATAGAGTGACCCGGGACTGCGGAGGCTGCACGGAGCTGGTCGAGCTGAGCCCAAGATGGAGGCCTCACGTTAGGCTGTGTAGCCCGTCACTGGATGTCTTGGGCGACCGACCAGCAGACTGTGCACAATGGTCACTGGAGCGAAAGAAAAGTTCTATAGCTAGTTGCGACAATCATAATAACAATCGAACGCGTACAAATGATGCATGTCTTCGCCATATGGTGTACAATGAGTAGGTGATAACCATGAGTATCGCGTCAAGACAAACGCCGCTGTCTCGGGCAACCCTTCAAGAGTCCTTCTCGCTGGGTCGGACCGGGGCCGGCATGGGAAAGGCTCGGGGACTCGTGAGTATGTGTGTGCGTATCGGATACGGGAGTACGGAGGGGTGGACGTTGCAACGGTGAACGGAGGCACATGTTGGATGAATCATAGAGAGCACAGGGCACAGGGGTTCAGACTCTTTTACTACTTGTGATTGTTCGCGTAGAGCCTTGCTGTTGGAGGACAAGGTCGGTTGGAAGGATTTTGGTTTGTGCGTTTGTGAGGAAACCTGAAAATCTTGGAGTTGTGTACTTCGTACTTGGTGTGGTAGGTAGAGAGAGGGAAGAAGATGGAGGGTCGGAAGAGGTACGGATAGGTCACGGCCGGGGAGGGGGGATGGGCGGAAGCAAGGCGCGGTCGATCGCAACTTTTCGATGTGGGGTGGGTTTTTGTGCTCTGAGCCTCTGATGGAGATCTCGTAGACGATAGCCCTTGTGAAGATGCATGTTGGGGGTTTTTGTTTATGGATACCTGGCTTCAAGGTGTGTGTATTTAGGTGGGTTGATATCATTGATAATTTGGCGGCAAGGAAACTCTTCGGGCAGCTGGTGTTTCATTGGATTTTAGGTGGGTGTTTTGCGGCGGAAAAGCTTAGCGTCAGGTGTTTTGGATGCGAGGACGAGGAGGAGCGGATTTCGGAGGTGGATACGGATATGATCTGATTATCTAGATTGGATTCGGGTGGTGTGTGTGTGGAATGGAATGAAATGGAGACAGAATTGGTTTGTTCATACGGAGATTGTGGGTGTACATTCACATGCCTACGCAGTAAGCTACTATGTATGCTGACTCCCCCGACGGAGTTGACGATTAAAAGTCCGTTGCTCTATGTCTCCTTTTTTCGTCGTAAGTTGCAGCTAGTAGCCAAGGGGGAGGTCGGTTGAGTGACCTTCTTAGCAATAGGTGACCTGATGATTCCATGTACTGTTGTGTTTGGGAGGTTGCCTTGTTAATAAGTCGTTTTTTCCCGTGTACAGTAGATCATTCCCCTTTTTTCCTAGTATCGTTGATGGGAGGTTTGAGATGAGGCTCAATCGAGGCGGACGGACGGGACTGGCGTCATGCGCAAAATACATAGTAGCTATGCAGGATGTTTGGAGCGGACTGGCTGCACTAAGAGTCTTAGTGTCTTCTTGATCGGACGCGTTCCTCGGTGGATGGGCTTCTAGGGAAGGAGGCGTCGATAGTGGCACTGTTTCCCTCCCCCTCTCCCCTAGCCCCCCTATTTCACGATTGAAAATCGAGGATGGAATACAGGGCGTTTTGGACTGCTCTGAGAATCTGATGGCGGATTTGAGAGGCGTCCGTGTTTAAGTGGGATAAGCATACTTCCATCGACTGTGGGAGCGAAAGGAAGGGATTGATGGATCGATGGGAGGCTGCATGTTTCGAAACAAAACTGAATTAGATGACGGGGAGTCATTTGGGGCTGCACAGCAATGAAGTACCTAGGTAATTGTTCGAGATGGGGGCGTTTTAGATTGGTGGTACAGAGTCGCAGCCGAAACTGAGTTTCGGAGGTGAGAGACATTGAATATGGGCAAGGTGAGATTGGAAGGGGCGGATACATACCGAAACAAACAAAGGATCATGAACAACACATGAATGATGAATGGCAGGCTGCATTTGTTGTGTTTGTACGGAAGAGTTGAATATGTTGTGAAGAGAGACTGGGGAGGTTTGATGGGAGAGAAATACGCGGTCGGTTATCCGTATACGAGTAATACGAACAGGTACATGTTGGTTTGACTCGTATTTTTGATAGAAGAGGAGCGCAAATGCCAAAATGAGATGGGCGAGAAGCAAGGTACTGTCGACCGGGGCTGTATGGTATACGACGACCGCGCCTCAATTGTGGCTGACGATGTGGGAATAACCTCTTTCTGGCAGGCATAGAAAGACAGTATTCACAAGATGGCAAGTTCTGTCAGGTAGGTGTCCTTACGGCGGAAAGTGGGATGTCGTCGCGTCTCTAGGAACACGAAAATGGAACATGGGGGCGGGCTTGGCACGTTGGCATTGACTTTTTCTGCTTCGTCGTCGTGGTCCCGGGGCCGCGGTAATTAATACATAGTATGAGTGAGGCAGAATTCGCGATGATGATTTGGTGGTATCCCTGAGGGGATTGTGAATGTGCTTCTCATTCCCGCTCGTGTCTTTTTTCGTGCATCGGGTTTCCCCCGTTCTTTGGGAGGCCTGTGACGTCGCATCTGGCAGTCCGTCCGGTGTTCGTCTCATTGCGATGGGCCGTGTGTTTGATCAGCCGCTGGCGGCGGCGGCGAGAAGGACACAGAGTTTTGCTGTGCAGGAGACAAGAAGGATTGCTCGGACGAAAAGAATGACGTTGATCGAGGCCGAGTCCCTGCATCATCAAAAGATCAGTGCATGGCGGGCGAAATCCATCGTGCCGCTGTGCGTGCGCACCCGCTGCACATTCCATCCGCGGTAGTCATATCGGGGATTTTAACAGCCAGTGAGAGTTGGTCTTCTTATTGTGCACCTCGTTCAAACCCTCCAGTCTTGGGTCGCAAAATAAGTAGGGATCGAATTTTTTTTTTCTTTCAATCTGCTCTCCTTCGTTTCCGAATTCTAAAACGCCGCGCGGGAGGGACAAGATTTGAGGAAGGGGCCCAGGCAGGCCAGGGAAGGGGGAGGAGGGAGCCCGGCTGTTTGGTGTTGGATCCCTGTTCATAGCCCGTCGCAGTGCTCCGTACGGAAAGGAAGAAAAGATTCAAATAAGAGATGGTAATGAGATTGCCCCGTACGAGTGACGCGTTCACATTTGCCCATACGACGACGTACGGATACTCGAAGGTGTTGATTCCGCAACGGTAAAAAAACATGTGGCGTAGATGTACCCAACATAAGGCAGACAGACGATGCTGCAAATAGATATTTTCGGTAACCGGCACTGATCATAGCAAGGCGGTGACGGCCTCTTGCATTGAGCATCCGATGTTGGACGATGCAGTTTTGGTGAGGTGGATTTGAACAATGATGCTGTTCCACGCGCGCCACGGCTGTGTACTGCGTACTTTGGTACGGCTGAGCACCCTCAAAAGTCGAGACGAAAAGGGCCATGTGAAGGGGAAACCCCTGAAGGGCGGCGCTGCGTTGTCCCGGAGGCGGGAGGGATCTCGCTGCTGACTGGATGCCGCCGTCGTCAGCGGCCCTGTAATCTTAGTGCGTCCGCTCCGTCGTCGACCCTTGGCACTCAGCCACTTGGCAAACGGCCCCGGACTCCTTCCTTTGCCTTAGCACCCACCCACTGGGCCACTGCACATTAGGTAACGCACCTCGAAGTACCCGGTACCCCTGGTCCCCTACCAAGTTACGACGGAGTACCTCCCACAGCTGTAGGAAGGAAGCATGCCCATCGCTTGCTTGCTTACCTCCTGAGTAAGGTAGGTAACGGGTTGTTTGTCTCTCGCCAATTTCCCCCCCTCCTCCAAGTCTTGCGCTTTCGTCATTCTTCTTCCCTCCTTCCAAACCCTTCACCACAACGGCCGTCTCCTTGGTGCGCGTCTGTCTACCTACTCTTCTGATTCTACCTTGCTCTTTTGTTTTAGCTTCTTGGCCGCGGGAATCCTCCATCGATTGACCCAAACTACCTTCTTCATACCACACTGTATTTTATTCAACGTCACACTCCCCATAACGAAGACCGAAACGATACCCCGAACCCCGACCAACGACGAAGAGGAAACCCCCCCAGCTCTGTAATTGCGCGCGACGGACCGTTAATATTTTTGTGGAATCTTGCAAGAGGAGGATCGACGTGCGACTACATTACTGGGCGCGGACTGGGGAAAGACAATCCCCTTTGAACCACTCGACCACGATCCTCAAGCACCCACAGAAACCCACAACCATACTCGTCTCAGAGGGAGAGACACGGCGCGAATTGAAGGGAGAAGTTCACCTTGGACCGGTAGAATTATAACGAGGAAGCCATCCCGGAATACGACTCCGTCGTCCTGAAGTCGAAATTCGACCTTTTCCTTCTCCTCTGCGAGCCCGTTTGCGACCACGCGACCCGCCCCGAACGCAGTCCAGAGCCACGAGGCGACCAAGCTCTGCCACGAGGCGACCAAGCTCTGCCAAGACCGGCACCCGCTCTGTTCCTGCAGCGCACCAGTCTTGGCACAACCGTTAAACCCCAACCCACTGCCCTCATCCACACCGACATCGTCATCGTCCGCTCCGTTCCACGCCGTCTGTGTTCTTCCCATACCGCGCTGCCATACTCTCCGGGCCTCCCGTTTCGTACACGAGACCCCGTACCCCGGAGGTCATCCTCGGCACGGTGCTGAGTTGACGTCGCCATGAATTTAACGTGTAATTCAACGCTCGAGGAGCTGAGGAGTATGTCACTCGACCCTGCAAACCTCCGACCCCAATCTCGTGAGACATCCGCATTGTGCAAGAAAGCTAACAACTCCTCTTCTCTCTCAAGTCCTTCCCGGCTCCGAGATCCTCATCGCTGGTCCCCTGACCTTCCACGACCTCGCCCTAATCATTGCTGGCTCCTGCACCATCATCGCAATATGCCTATCCTTCTACCTCGTCTTCATGCACTCTATCAACTACACGAAGCCCCGCGAGCAGCGACAGATCATCCGCATTCTCTTCATGGTCCCCGTCTACGCCGCCTCGTCCTTTCTTCAACTTTGGTACTACTGGCACGCGGTCTACTTTCAACTCATGAGCGACTGCTACGAGGCTTTCGCCATCGCATCCTTCTTCTCGCTCATGTGCCACTACCTCGCCCCAGATGTCCACACCCAAAAGGACTACTTCCGCAATCTCTACCCCATCAAGCCTTGGGTCTGGCCTCTCGATTGGTTTGCAAAGTGCTGTGGAGGACAGAGGGGACCCTGGCGCACGCCCAAAAGCGGTTTGACATGGTTCAACGTCATCTGGATTGGTGTATATCACTACGTCTTCATCCGCGTCGCCATGACTGTCACGGCCGTCGTTACCCAATACTTCCACCGTTACTGCGAGAGCTCAAATAACCCAGTCTTTGCTCACATCTGGGTAAGCTTTCTCTGTTCCCCAAACCATTTGGAAGCCTTCACTAACAGAAACAGGTTATCTCGATCAACTGTGTTGCCGTCACTATTGCCATGTACTCCGTCATTCAGTTTTACGTACAGATGAGAGAACCCCTGAAGGAGCACTCACCCTTCCTCAAGGTCCTTGCCATCAAGCTTGTGGTCTTCTTCTCTTTCTGGCAGGTGACCTGCATTTCTCTCGCTACCTCAACGCTCGACCTTGTTCACCCGAACAAAGTCCTCGCCTACCCGGACATCAAAGTCGGCATTCCCGCCCTACTTCTGTGTTTCGAAATGGCCCTCTTCGCCCTCCTCCATCTCTGGGCCTTCCCTTACGCCCCTTATGTCCCGGGCGCCAAAACCACATACTACCCGTCCGCCGACTCTCGAGACAGCCATGCTCCCCTCCGCGAAAATGTACACACGGCTCCCGCCGGTGGATGGATGGGCCTCAAGGCTGTCGGAGACGCTCTTAACCTATGGGACTTTGTCAAGGCCTTTGGTCGTGGTATGCGCTGGCTGCTCTGCGGTGTCAAACGCCGCCACGAAGACTCCAGCTACAAGACCGCAGCCAACCTCGATATGGACGACCTCGACAAGGACGGAGATACCGCTTACCATCCCGCCGGTGTCAAGAGTACCGATCACCTACCAATCGCTACCGAATTCCGCCGCAGCACATACCTGCAACCCTCGCGTCCACCTCCACGACCCCAGCGCCCTGGTAACGAGAGTGACAGCCTTATCGCCCACGCCCAACCGAACCCCTCGCAGATGTCTCCGCCACGCCGTCCCGCGCGCCCGGTATCACCCTTGTCGCCTATGTCGCCAATCTCGCCATACCAAGATCAGAGCTTCCAGCAGCAGACGGGCATGACACCAGTACACCCGACACACCCGGGGCCTAGCAACGGCGAATGGGGGAGAACGGGGCCGCCAGCACAAGCAAATCTGGGTGTCGCAGGTCCCCGCGACTTGACGCAGCAAAGGGTAGGAGAAGCGCTCTGGGGACCACCACAAAGCCCAGCAGCCGCCTCCATCATGCCAGAGAGTCCCGTTCTCGGATCGCCGATGAACGGCGCCTACGGACATCCGGCCCTTCAGCAGCAGGCGTACCAGCAACAAGCACACCAGAACCAGGCGTTTGGCAGTCAGCAACAACCGCATGCCAACCACCCGTACGGAAACCAGACACACGAACAGCAGCCGGGACCTGGCCAGGCCTTTTAGGCCGAGCCATGTATATAGGATTTTTATTCTTGAACAAAAGTCACAGATGGCGACAGCTTACATGTTGGATAATTGTCAGCGGTCTAAGAGAAACTGCTGGAACCCTTCCACGACTATGAGGTTTGAGGGATTCATTTGGTCTTTTTGGAGGATTCCAGGGTGGGAGGCAATGCATAGGAAAAATCGGCGTTTTTTTGTTTTCCTTTACGAGATACCACATCATTTAGCTAGGTGGGAATGAACACATATTTCATATACTTTGCAACGGCTCCTTAGTTGGCTGGTTTATTGCGGACTCTTACCGCCATGATGTTTCTAGCTAGCTACGAGTGTAAGGTTATTATTCAGCAAGGTATGCACTCTTGGCTTTGGTTTCAACAAAGGGTTTCCAAGTGCCCTGATGCTTTCAGTCCCAGCGCCCCTTTGCTAGAAAAAGCATCATCAAACCACAGGTTTTCATATTCATGCTCACAAGTCGGTTTGAGTCCGCTTCGTATCGACAAACGGAAGCGACAGGAGGTACGCTTTCAAAAAATTTCCGCTGTTTGTAAAACTAAACCACAATATACAACAATAAATTTGCCTCGCCTCCAATACATTTCCCATGACCTGTCCGTTCCCTTCAAGATTCAGATACCCGTCACGCCGAACGGGAAAAAAAGCCAGAGACTCCCAGATATTTCCATGTGATACATACACTGTTGCAGTCATCCCCCCCCCCCCCCCCCCTTTTTCTCATTTCACACATACGCACACATACACAGGTCCGATGGCCGGAGGGGGCCCCATCTCTCTCTCCTAGATTCCTCGAAACGAACGGCGGTTGAATATCCATCCAACAAAACCCAAACGCCTCAAAAACTCCGCAACGCAGATACGCTCTAGACCAGGGACAAAAATACAAAAGGCACGACTGCTTGACGACCAATAGACCAAACCGTCTTGGTCCGTCTAATCAGACATCAGAAGAACCAGATCCAGACTCCGCCAACGCAGCAGCAGGTCCAACGGCAGAAAACGAGTCAAACAGGGAAATATCCCCACGTCCTTTGATATCATCATCGCCCGGCACCTAGCCGAGCGACGGACTGGTCTCCCTGCTCCTCGACTCAAAGCTCTCCACCATCTCCAGCACCCTCGTCCTCGGCCTCGCCACGCTCACGACCTCAGCCGTACGCAGCGTCAGCGACGGCCGGGGCTCCGCAGAGTCTTCCCGGCTCGGCAGCGGGTGATCGTGACCGTGAGAAGACTCCCCAGAGTCGCCCTTTGGCGGCGGGAGGTGTAACAACCTCCGTCCGCGCACCGGCGACCCCGTGCTCGGCGACTCGGGTCTGCGCGCATACATGCCCCTACTCCGGGATCCCAGGTCGTCTTCGTCATCGTCGTCGAGAGCAATTTCCTTGCCCTTGCCTTTATCCCTGTACTCCTCCGCGAGAGCCCTCTTCTCCAGATCCGCCCCGTCGAGCCCCTCCATCTCGTCCTTATCCGGGTCCACGAGGATCGCCTCTTCCTCCTTTTCAATCTCGGCGTTGACGACCCGCAATCGCTCCTTAGGCACCGTGAACATGACCTGCACCAGCCGCTGCTCAATCGCCTTTTCGATGTCCCACTCGTCGAGCGACTTCTGGTCAATGTCCCAGTCGTGCCGGCCCTGCTTCCTGCGCAGGAGCTCGGCGCCCCCGATGCCGGATAACCCGACCAGCCGCGGCTCGTAGTCCGAGCTGACTTGGTCGAGGGATAACCGCCGCGGGCTCTCGTGGTCGCTCGAGTCTGAAGAGTTGTTGTTGACGCCGCTGCTGAAGACGCGCCGGAGACTGCCGAGCCACCCGAGCGATCGGCGGGGCTTGTGTTTGCTGGGACTGCTGGGGATGTGTACAAAGTCCTCTTCATCTTCGTCGTGTTCATTGCGCGGTCGCTGGCCTTGGAGGAGCAGCGAGGGACCCTCGGCTTGTAGGGCGTTGAACGTTGTCTTGGCGGTGGAGTATGTGTGCCCGCTACTGCTTGACGACGAAGAGGTGCCCACTCGGTTATCGGTGATGATGGTCAGGTTGTTCGGTCCTGTACTATTTCGTCTCGCAGACGCCGAGCGCGTGGGTACGCTGATAGCACTACGCGCCGACTCGGAGACGTTGCTGGCCGTCCGCTCGTCATCCGCCATGGACCGCGCCGAACGCATAGACGCGCGCCGTGTCGGGGAGACGCGGCTGTTGCGGCGCGAGGGCATCCGAGCCAAGAGAGCTTCTGTAGCGTCAATGTCTGACTGCCAGTCTTGCACCTCTGTGTTGCGCCGCAGGAGAGCCTCCGGACTGGGCGTCATGGAGTGACGATTGCCGGGTGTTAAGATCGGGACGGAACCCGTCGGCGTCATGAATGGGTCGGCGTGCCCCGGTGTGGTAGGTGTCGCGGGCTCCTGATCTTTCCTTCTGTTGGCGTGCTCCGGGTCATCTTCATCTGCTTCGTAGATTGGGTGGATGTGGCCTGGCGTGGTGAGACTCGCTGCTGGTTGGTATGCGCCTCTTGCCGCACGAGGTATGGGTTTGCGCGGAATGAGCAAACCGGGCGGCTGTTGATATACACCTTGGTTGTTGCCGGGACCATGGCCTGTCCTTAGCGATTCGTAACCGAGCGATCTGTCGATCGTCTCGTAAGGATCGTGACCTCCCGTGTACCAAGAATGGCTCGTCCAGGGGTAGGCCGATCCGCCATCCCGCTCCAACATATCGTCTTCTGGGTGCAGGAATCGTGTCGCATCTTGCGCCAAAGAGCGCACCGTCTCCTCTCTCATCTCCTTCTTCTTCCTCAAATGTCTCTTGTAACAATAGTAAACCAAGAAGGCGCCGAGAACTGCGGCGAGCCCAACGCCGAGGCCGACACCCAGTCCAATCTTCTTGATGTTGTCGTTGCTAGTGGAGCTATTGGACCCACTCGATGAGGTCGCATGATTTGGATTTGTGTAGCTCGAACTCCATGCCATGGAAGTCATGTTCAGGAACCTGAGCCCGGTCCCGCTTGACTGTCTCTTCGCCTTGGATCCTGAAGTCGTGATTTCATATCCTCCGTAAACCATCATTACATTGCCAGGCAAAATCGCTGCCCCATGACCGTAGATTCCACCATCCGGTTGCTGAGATGGAATCGACCATGTCCAGTCTCCATACGTATCACCCATTTTGAGAAGCGCAAGCTGCGGGGAAGCAGCCTGAGAAACACTACCAACCCAGCCGCCCAGGATAATGAGCGCAGTCCCGTCTTCATTCAGCACCGCCGTGTGCCCGGACCGGCTCTCCACCTGCGTCCCCGCGCGCTTCTCGATGTCCTTCACCGCCAGCTCGCTGCTTCCGACGCGCGTGGCGCTGACCGTCGCAAAGTTCCACGACTCCTCTGGCAGGTTCCAAATGGCGGCGGAGCTCATGTTGATAAAGGCCTGCTGGGTGTGGCCGCCGAGCAACACGTAGCGGTTCTGTTGCGTGACGATGCCGGACCGATTTGAGATTGACGGGCTCAGGGGTGTGAAAGAGAACCCCGCCTCAGCGTAGGCTGGACCCTTGCCAGATATGAAGCTGGCCGAGTACCCCGAAGCCACGGAGTCTGAAGGGGCCACTCTCAACATGGCTTTCGTATATGTCCCGTTTCCTTGCCACGTAGATTCGTCCGTCGTAGGCGCCAGACACATGCCGCCGAATGAATACAACACGGGTTCGGACATGCTCGGCGCGAGAGTCGACGAGAAGCTGATTCCTGCACCGAGAGCATACGGACCTGCGTCCGAGTCCGCGCTGCTGGGTAGTGTTGCTGAAGTCTTGTACCAGGATCCTGAAGTGCCCGAAGACCCTGACGCCGCCCCTGGAGTATATGTCCAGATGTCGTAGCCTTCCGCCGTCTCGCAATCCCCCGCCTGAACCACAATGGTCCCATTGTCCGCCATCGTGGGGAGGAAAGCCGTCGTCTTGGTCGCATCGTCGAGGAACGGCAAGCTCGTCGATATCGTCTGCAGGCTAGTGGGGCCATCGATGGTGGCCGAGGCGTTTACCGACAGGAGCTCGACGCCTGAACTACTCTGGTGAAAGATGTAGGCGAGGCCGTGGTTGCTGTTGTTGTCTGATGATCCCGGCAAGGCGGAGGAGAGCAATATTGTCGTCGGAACGTATGGGAACGTTTGTTGCGCCGAGACCAGGGAAGCGAGGAGCAGCGCGGCGGCGGCGAAGGTCGTCGTCTTGCGGATAGCTGCTTCTGGCCCCGACGAGGCCCACCGGCCGGCCGTTGCGGTCATGATCGTTCCGTAAAGGATTGTCGTTTGCGGTCCGGTTTTGTGTATTCGTATGCGCCAACCGCCGAGCGGTGGTCAATTCATGTTCTTTGTGCCCCTCTCTTCTGCGCGCTCTGGTTGATCGTCGTTGTCCTGCCCAATACTGATGCGATGTGAAGTTGGGAACAGATCCAGGTTCTAGAAACTAATGATCTCTCAGTAGACTGGCATTCCCTCTTTTCTTCTTCGTTGTCCACTCCTTCTCGCTTCGATACTCTCAACTAGCTAGCCGGGTCGGAAAATGGGCCTCGAGGAAAACGTCGACGAACCGAAGAAAAAAAAAGTGATAGGCAGGGAAAGAATAGAGGAAGGAAAAGCACGGGGCATGCGGGAAAGAGGAGGCCAGAGCTGGGTCAGGATGATCAGAGATGGAGAAAGACGAGCACCCCGGACAAGGGCAATGGGAATTAATCTGGATGACGAGCAAATCGAGGGGTTGGGGTGTGGCCTGGTTTGCGGGTGCAGATGCAGTTTGAACAAGGGTAGGTTTCTGTACACTAAGGGAGGACAAAAAAGCAAGATGTCAACAAATCGAACGGTTTCGATGTGCAGGGGGGCAACGGAGGAGGGGTCGTTTTGGCGGCGCGCCGCGGCGGTTGACTGGCACCGGTGGGAGGGAGACGAAGGCTGAGAGGCAGTGAGCCGTGTGAGCGAGTCGCCTACAAGACCCGAACGAACGTCTATCAAAAGGGCCGCGCACTTGGGACATCCGAAAAGCCAAGGATGAGCGGGAAAAGAGGGGTTGGTCAGGAAGCCTAGAACCAAGTCTTCAATCTGCGCCGCAGGCTTAGCACCGATGGATGATAGGCAGATGGGCCAATTAGTGTCCGCGGTATGGCATCATGAGGAACCCGCGGGCAGGTCGGCCCCGATCGAGGATGCTAGACCGGTCAAGGGTTGCCTGCAAGTAGGAAGTGCGCTGGGTGCGTGAGTGCGTGAGTGCGACTGCGTGTGAGTGTGAGTGTGAGTGTTTCCGACCTTTGGAGGGTTTTGTTTTGGCGGCGGCAGCGCAAACTGTCAGGCCGTCGTCTGGGGCAACGCCCCGCTCGGTGGGAGGGTCTCGGCTACGGCGGACCCCTGCTGACTGATGTGCGCCATACCCAATTGGAACTAGATGTACTGTGCATCCCTGCTGCCGTTCTTTGTTCGACGGGGGGGCCATCGGTGATTCGCGAACGACCGACGGACGGTTTTATCTCTCGAGTGTCTGTTTCAATCTTTCTGTTGATGCTCGGTGGAACTATTGTTACTTGCGGCAATATGACCACCTGAGTCCGGTCTGGATGGGAAACCTTCATGAATCACATGTCCAACGTGACAATGCGACAAGGTGGTTGTATGAATCGTGCAAGGGTCCCCCTTACGTGCGTTCATCTGTCTTACATTGCCTCATCAACCAGGCTAATGTAACTCATTTGAAGCTACACCACCGCGGAAACAAAAGACATCTCCGTCCAACCTCCTGCCTCTGGACTGCGCGACTTTAACATCTCGGTCCTAACTCCGCGTCACCTAGACACCCAATCAAGTGACAACATAATCTAGCTTTCAATGCATCTAGAGAGTTTGTGTCTACTTACCTTCCCTTAGTCTTGCTATCACTATTACTGCTGCTGACGCTGCTCTTTTGAGTTGAGCCTCCATTAACTATTCCTACTGCTGCTCAAAATATTTGAGAATTCTATATCTCAAGTACTCGATCTTCCCTTAGCATCACCACTACCCATGCTGCTCTTCTAGGTTAGGTTTTCATAGCTATATTTATTTCATGAGAAGATTCATCTTGCTCAAAGAGACGTTCTAAAAGTGTGGGCTTTCCCAAAATCCAACCAGCTATGGTCAACTTGAGATAAATCAGACCTCAAGTATCGTTGGTACCTTCCCTACGTTGGCGATAAGAAGAGATCTCATTCATGTAGCAACTGGTGGACCTTTGAGTAACATGCTCCTCAACGAGGCCACCTTACCTCTGCATCACCACTTATCTAAGGAAACACCATCCAACAAACTTCACAACTGTACAACCCCGTCCCTATATTCATCTGCACACTTCACCACGCAAGCATCACTCAACCTCATCCTCCTCAGCCGCCTCATCGGCCGCATCAGCAGTAACCCCCTCCTCCTCCTCACTCAACTCCAACAAATCATCAAACAAACCCGCAAACTGATTCGGCAACTTCTCCCTCACCTCCCTCACCATATTCAACAGCCCCGTGATCTCATCCGTCTTATCCTTGACGTCCCTCTGCAGGATAGACACCGCCCTCTCCAATAGCCTCGGCCCCTCCGCGACCTCGGACCGCCCATAATACTTCTCAAACTGCTCATTCATGAACCTTGCCTTATCGAGCTCCGTCGCCAGCACCTCATTGTGCTCCTTCATCGCCTCGCCCGCGCTCGTCAACCGGTGATTCTGAATCTCCATCCGCGTCGCCTCGTCCAGCTGGTTCTTGTACTTGCTCTCCCAGTCCGACACGCGCGCAGGCCACGTCGGCGCCACCACCGACACCACCGTCGGCGTCACCTCCAGCCGCCGCGTCTGCTGCACCGCAGGGTGCTCCCCGTGCGCCGGCAGCACAAAGATGGTGCTCTTGCTCCCCTTGCCCGCGAGCCTGTAATACCGCGTCTTGACATCGTAAAACACCAGCCCGCGGGCATAGAGATCCCCGCCGCGCTGCTCGTTCCACAAACGCTCGCCATACGTCCCGTTCGCCGCCCACACCTCCCTCTTCTGCTCGATCTGCGCCTCCTGCCTGTCCAACACGCGGTGTAAAAAGTCAAACACGTCGTCGCCCGCGTTGGCGAGGATCCATTTATCCTGCGGATACGCCACCTCGCGGCCCGAGGCGGCGTCCGGCCCCATCCTCGAGAGCATCTGCATCGGCACGGCGGCCTCGCCCGCGGTGACGTCGAGCGCGTTGGCGTAGCCGAGCTCGAGGTCGTGCATGCGCGCCACGAGGTGCTGGGTGTAGAGGAGCCACTGGCCGAGCAGGCTGTTGCGCACGGCGGCCATCTCGTCCGAGTCGCGGTCCTCGTTGGTGGGGAGGAGGGAGAGGAGGCCGCCCGTGGCGCCGTACTCGTGGTCCAGCATCTCGAGACACTCGTTTGCGTGGGAGGCCAGGGCGGTGTGCGTGGCGTAGGGGCGGGGTTTGGTGCGCTTGTCCTTGTCTTCGTTGTATTCGTGGAGGGGGCAGTGGTGGACGGTGCCCTGGGTATCGGACTCGTGCTGGATCAGGTTCATGAGGTCGGTCAGGGGCTTGTTGTGCCACTCGTCGTCGTTTGCGTATGGCTTCTGCAAGTCGTTGAGCCAGTCAAAGGCCTCGTTGTCTCGAAACGACTTTTGGATGCGGTCCTCGTTGTTGTTTTCATTGTCGATCTCGGCGTACTGAGATGTCGGCGCGAGCTGGGCAATCAGAATGGTCAGCGCTTGCGCGTGTTGCTTGAGGGCGAGCAGCGTAGGCGCGTGCCCGTGTGTTGAAAGATAACCGCAGTTGACGTGACCCAGAAGTTCGGTATCCATCTCGGCATATGGACCATTGGGAGCGTCTTCATTCCCACCACCTAGGCAGAGTATCTCCTCGATGTAGCGAGACTGGTAGGCGTCGGCATATGGTGTCTTTGGCAGGCGAGCTTGGAAGGAGGCCATGGTGAGAAGTTTGGTCAAGTGTCAATCTCAAGAGAAACTCCGGTGCGTAGTGGGAAAGCCAGCTGATGAGATTTAAAGATTGAACAACGTGACGATGCCGGTAAAGACCATCTTTGAGGCAATGAGTTTTTATCAATTCTGTCCATTGGAAGGGATGGGCATTTCGTGGTGATGGCACCTGATGGAATTATTGGAACAAAGAGACCATGGCAAGGTTTCCAATGGCAAGCTCAACATTGACCAGACAAACAATACATGCGCTCGGTTTTGATGTTGGTCTCAAGTCGGGAACAATGACAGCTCTCATTCTTGACATATGAATGCGACTTTCGTTCATTGTCGGAGTCATGAAGGTGATGTTTTGTCCAAGACTAAAGGCTTCATCATCTTCCATTCTAGGGACAGATGACATCCTTCCTTTGTCACAAGATCGTCACTTATATACGATGTCCGAGCGAGGACGAGCAATCAGAGTTGTTGGGAAAGTGAACCATAAAGCTTTGACCGACTTCGGTGAAAACGCAGGCAGCAGAACCTACGTAATGACATCTTGAAGCAACACGACCATCGTCTTGCCAATCGCGATGCGCAAATGTTGGCGCCGTTATGCACATGTATACTTATGGATTCAGTAGCAAGGCATATGCTTCTGCTCCGGCAAGACACGGCTCGTCCTTTAAGCAGCATTGTAAAGTGCTCCTCGATCAGACCACATATCTGAAACTGTCGAAAGGATCGGAACTGTAAAGCCATGTGCAGTCCACGGCCTCTGAATAGCTTCGTTCAGGTAGCACTAGCTGGACCGGCTCTAAGCGTAGTTATGAGTCTAAAAACCAAGCTGAAGTTCGTCTAATTCGGTCAACGGCAAGTGTGCTTTCCTGCTGCTTAGCAGTATGTCCAATGGTTGTTCATCGGGTGTAGTCCCGAACGGAGCCTTCAAATAGAGTTTAGAACGCCCGCCTAGGTTGGCGTTTCTCATTTCTCAACGGAGAGGTCCGGAATTGAGGCGAAGTCGTCCGGGATGTTTGATGAAGGGGTCGAGTGCGGTATGGAGGCCTGGGCCGGTCGAAATGCGGCCGGTCAGCTTGCGGGTGCGCACGTGGGAAGCACAAGAGGGCGAATCTGCAAGAGGTGCAGTAATTTCCAGCTATGCAGGCTGATGAGTTGTAGACATGCAGATGATGCTGAGGACTGCAGATTGCCCTGATCGGGCTGATCACTCTTCGGCCAGGGACGATGCCGCATTGTTGGCGGCACTGCCTACCTGTCATCGGCGTCGTGGCATTCCAGAATGCGCGTCCTCAGCCGTTTGGCGCGCAAGCTGGAAACAAATAAAGATGTCTCGAAACTGTGCAACCGGCAGTAGGCCGTGTTTAGAGGGCCACGGGCGGCTACTGTCGTCAAACGTTGTACAGAGTGCCATGTACGTACATATAGTATTACAGCAGTGGCTGGTGGATTGTCTTGATTCTCAAGCGGTGCGGCTTTGTCTCTCGTGGTGTTGTGGCTCACGGGCCATGGGCTCGACTGGCCACCGGTCCACCGTGTGCATTTCTCCCAGCGACTCAGTTTCCTTCGTCAGCCGAGCAGGGATCCTATGTAGAGGAGATGGTCTGTCAATGGTAGCATGGGGACGGGTGTCAAACAGTGGAGGATTTGAGATTTTCTGGTAGAGTAGCGCCGATGCAGGTTGATAGGGCGTCCGGAAGCGGTTTGGGGTGGGCGACCATCGGCGCTAGGGTAGAAAACATGGGTGGGCATCCAGCGAAGCGTTCCAGAGCAGGAAATTGGCAGCATTCGTCGAGACTCGGGAGATGGTAAGTGGCGCAAATCCCATCATTCATCCTTCGTCTCGGTGCCCCGACTTCCAAGACCACCGGTGCATTGGGTCACAGAGCTATAGCGGTTTGGAGGTGCGCGAATGCCAAAGTCCATGCGGGCATGGCATTTTCGATGACGCCTGCAAAGGTCTGCCCAGCCGGCCGGTGTGTGAACCGTCTTTTCTGGGGTATCTTGAGGGCTGTCATGTTATCGATGTTATCGACGTTTTCGAACGGGATGCGCAAGAGCCGCGCGGAAGTGGATGCTGGATTGTGCGTAGCTTGTCGATAGCATGGACAATCACGAGGGCATTGCGTCAGTGGGCAGGTGGAATTAGGGTATTTTCTGGTAGGTACATCGCTCACTCGGCCGAGGAAGCCAAGCCAAGCACGTTGATGTCACTCGGTAGGTTTGGTGCCGGGTGGCTGCCGTTACTTCTGCCGCTCGCCGTGTCGCCGGGTAAAAAAAAAGGCTTCAACCGTTGGAAAGGGCCAAGAACTTTCGAGGAAGAATTGGCGGTGGTCGGGGAAGATGCCGTGAAGGATGAAAGGATGGAGGTCCGAATATTCAAGAGTTGGCCGTCTGAAGGCCAGTTTGATGGGCTTTGATGTGGCACCGCCCGCAGCAATTGACAGGAGACCCTGCAAAAGTGCGACGAGCCCTGCAGCGGGAAGGATAAAAGTCGAGATTTTAAGTGGTGAAAACCGGGAATCTCAGCCAGCGCATTTTGGGTGTCTGCCGGGGGGTTCGTTTGTTGGCTGCGACGCTGCCGGCGGACGGCAGGGCTGGTGGACCACGGTGTTTCCGGGTAGTGAGCCGCGTGAATCAGGGCAGGTCGGTAGCGGTAGAAAGGAAGACGAAGGAAATGCGACTTGTAAGCATTAGAGTGAAGACCACACCATACCGGTGAGTAGTCGACGAGATGAACGCATCCCAAGACAAGCGACGAATGTTTGGGTGCGTCAGAATGAACGGACCTTGATGGTGTCTGAGCCTCTGGAGGTCACCGAGGGAAGGTGCAGACGGGAGGGAGCCAATATCACAACTGCGTAGGTGTTCATACTTTGCAGACTTTTGTTACTGGACGGCAATCTGGGCCCTCGAGATGGGTACACAATCCGTAGAATACCTAGCTTGAGAAAAAAAAAAAAGATTTAATCAAAAAGGAAGCAAAAAAGATTCGGCAGTGCCCACAAACCGGCAACGGCATCGCTGAATCGTGAAGGAGGTTTCCAGTTAGAAACACGTCGGCCAATCAAGAAGCGTCGCATGCAGTGTTCAGCCGACCCACTTCACCTCGAGTGGCCAGGAACTGTCGATACGCTGTAAAGGGATCCACCTGGTGGTAGGTGCGTTGCCGTTCCCAGGATGGCAGGCGCATCGACACCAGGAAGCTGCCAGGGGATCCAACTTTCCCTGCCCAACTTTGAGATAGAAGTGGGGGCAGAATTTGGGAAGGTGCAGGTTTGCAGGTTTGGCTTGACCTCTTCCTGCCTCCAAAATGGCACATTCACATTGAGCTAGCCCCTGTCTGGATGAAGGGGCTCCAATGTTTCTTGCCGCACTTACACAGTGGTGTAGTACTTCTCCTTACCTGCAGTCCTAGTGTACACCCACAGAGGACAATGCACTTGCAAGTTGCACGGGCTTGGTCGAGTTGGATTGGTGCTGCATGTCTGCGTCATAGTTGGCATTGGCTGGCATTTTGCTAGCTACTCGAAACCCTGCGGCGCGTCCAGCGTCCATTGGGACGGTGGCTCTGCCGACAGCTTAACCTGGAACACACCACCTCCGCGCCTCGTTTCCCCTTGCCCGCGCCACCAACACGATCTGTGAGGTAGCAATCTTTGCATGTGAGGTGAGGCTTTACTCGATTGCACGAACAAGCAGTACCTAGTCGGCCTTCACTGCTGACTGTGGGCAGGAGGAGGGCCCAACGGAGCTGTCTTCAGCTGGTGTGTGTCGTGCACCAGCGGCATACCAGTGTGGAATGGGTGACAAGCCGTTCTTGGTCACGCCGAACTGGGGGTCTCAATTTGAATCTATCGGTGGCCTCCCTCTCATGCTTCGTCTCTGTGTGCCTCCTTCCCGGTCGGTGAGAGGGCCTGTTTGAGAGGAGAGAGGACCCTTTGAAAATAAGAATAAGGGACGACGACGACCCCTCATCGGACCAAGGGTACCATTATTCATCTCAAGCTTTCGGATTGCATTGTCCAGATAGAGACATCGGACTGCAGACATTCGATAGTGAAGAGGCATTACGACTCGTGGATCCCCCTCCTGCCACAGACTTTATCCTACGACTCCATTATCTGTCGGTCTGCCCATCATTCTCCACCAAGATCTGCTTGTTATTGCGTCGTGACCAACCTCCTTCCTGTCTGCAGTCCTTCATCGCTTCATCGAAGGTAAGCTCCCTCGGCTCGATCGACAATTCCTGCTCTCATCCCCAGAAAACCCTCCACGCTCTACTCCCCCATCTCCATCGTTCTAGCTACACTAGACTCGACTTAAGCTGGCGCAACAGTCGTGACAGCAACAGCAGCGATCATAGGCAATAGAAGGGGGCACGAAAAGAGAGACTAACACTGCCCCTAGTGCTGTCTTGTGGCGTCACCTCCTTTCAGCACAACGAACTGAGACATTGGGAGACGCGCCCAATTTCCCCCAAGCTACCAGCACTTTACGGTCACGTCACTACTTGCTTCTTCTGCTCTTCTCTTTCGGTCCAAGGTACCCCCTTTGCAGCCTTGCACCAAGTATCCAAAGCAGCAGCACACCGCACCACCAGAAGTCCAGACCATAACAACCCATCGCCCGCAAGCGCACCGCACTACCTCACCTCACCAGCGCGCAATCAGTTACCTCAGAGCTCTGGGCACCTCGTCGCTTGTGTAACTGATCGACGCTCGGCCTGGCCCATCCCAGCATCCTGACAAGCTACGAACCCATCGTCTCATTTCCCAACTCCCGGTTTTTCAACAACGCGCACCACACATATCATCCCCCACCCTTCCCCCCTTCCACTGCTTCTTTTTTAACCCCCTGTCCCTCGACCTTCTTTTCTCTTCCCGCCCACTGCTCAGGTTCAGACTCCAGTGTCCACGGCCCTTCGCCTGTCTGAGTCTCTCTCCGCGACCGCACACGACCCTCGATACCCTTCCCTGTTTAATACCCGACTTGGCCCCTGGGACCCCCACCGTATTCGACCTCGCGTCTTCTCTCTCGACTCAACTTTGTTCCAGCACACACATACACATCAACACCAACAACCGTAGCGACCACCAGGCTGCTCAATTCGCCTAGACGCCATCATGTCGGGTCTTGGCGATGCCGAAGGCGGCCAGTCCAACCGCGGCGAGGCTCTTGACGATACCTCGGGCAGCACCATTTCCGGCCTCGTCAGTACTCTAGCCGTCTGCGCTCCCATTGCCGGCGTCTACCTCGTCATCTTCTTGATCCTCCGTCGAAGCCAAAGGCGATTCTATGCCCCGAGAACTTATCTCGGCAGCTTGCGTGAGAGGTACGTGGGAATTCTTGCTTCTTGATGAGTCTCTCATCCTAACTATTTTTACAGCGAGCGATCACCAAGCCTCCCCAGTGGCTTGTTTAACTGGTTTAGCCACTTTTGGAAGATTCCTGATGTCTACGCCCTCAAGCACCAATCCCTCGACTCTTATCTCTTCCTTCGATTCCTCCGTATCTGTGCCACTATCTGCCTGGTCGGCCTTGTCATGACATGGCCAGTCCTCTTCCCCGTCAATGCTACCGGCGGAGGTTCCGCCACGGAGCTCGACATCTTGACCTACAGCAACATTGATGTCGCATCCTCC